GAATTGTTCATCTCTTCTCACTGGTGTTGTTAAAGTGAAGTGGATTGAACACTTGACTCAAAACCTGCAAACCGGTTTTTTATAGAATATTTTCTAGCCATTTTACACAAATAGATGATTTTATTTGTGACACTGAAGTCTTTGTTAAGATATGACTTGAGCTTTGTATTTACATACAGGCAGACATATATTTGTGTTCTAAAAAAACAAAAAAAGATGGGAGAAGTGACACATACACTCTATTAGAATTTATAAAACAGAAATTGCTCTCTTTGAAAATATTTCGGTTACGGTACATGCTTAAAAATAGAAGGGATGTTCTCGTCTAAAGCTCTCTAAAATGTGATTTGAGCTGAGTTGAGGAGAGCAAGAGCCATTGCTCTCCGTTCACTTCAAGCATTGGTACATGTAGGCTACTGACAGTAATATAATGCAGGAAATAAGGCGTTTTAATAATACATGTACAATATGTGATCATATGTAATGATGTTCACTCAAGTGGAATTAAATACATGTACAGTTTGCAAATTTTGATTAAAAACGAAAAAAAAAGAATGAACACATTGCATAGGGGTGATAGAATGTTAGATCCCTTACAATGATTCTGCATAAATTACAAACAATGATTCTGCATAAATTACAATATCTAATAAAGCACATGTTTATGTAGTTAGTTAATACATTGTGTCAAATACTCAGAGGGAGTTGGGTGGGTGAATGATCTATATTGCAATCATTCTGTCATTGAGTCAAGATGTGTGGTTCAATTCCACACTTGTATGTGACAAGGAGTAGGGTTGTCTGGTTGCTTTCCACTACTAAAGACCCATACACACAAGCGAATTATTTAAAATTTACCACAGTTAATCTCTCTCTCTCTCTCTCAATAGCACATGAATGATCCCATGGCATTTGGAATTCGATATAAATGTAGGCCATAGAGCCACTGCACGGGCAAAATTTCCCTCATAGCACACTATATGGTGTATGCCCGTTTTCATTAGCCCAGTATAGGAGCAAAACAGTAGGACATTAAACCCCATTTCATTCCTCTCGCAATATAGTAGATATACAGCTGTAAACTTACACTGAGTACTACCACAGTAAATCTGTCATCTAAGCCATTATTGTAATTACTTTGTGATTTTATCATTTACAAAAACATTGTTTTTACCTAAACAATATTTTATCTCCAGTAGATGACAGCTTATCCTCTACATTATTTATTACAAATTTATGGCAATCTTGGGTTGATGTAGTTTCAATCACGAACAATAAGTCTCTAGCCTCCTATTGTTGGCAGGGTGTGCAGTGTGTGTGTGTGTGGGGGGGGGGTTGAATGACCTGTTAAAGTAGTACATGTATGTACATGTAGATACTTACTTACTACTTTGCAAATAGACTTTTGATGGCTGTTTTCATCTCTATCCTAACACACTTTCTGTTATTTAATTCATATTCATCACATTTCATTCAAACAGTAGCTCAACAAGAGGCACCTCATTTCAAGGGTTTTCTATTTTATAGTATATGTACATGTAGGGGTCTGTCTTCATTAGTCCGATTTGGTGCAGAAAAGTAGGAAGTTAAACCCCATTTCATTTTATGTATGTAGGGGTGGGGGAATGGTCTCCAACATACGTTTATTATTGTGTGTATTTCACCACATAGAAGACTAAAACAATTAAATTAAAATTCATTACACAATATCATGTACATCACTAGAATACATGTACATGTGTTAACAATGTAACTTAAAATATTAATGTTAAATGAAGCCAAAGATACAAGTAATGTACATGTACATGTACAATAGACTGGATAATCATACATGAATAGTCTTGATTGTACAAGTTGTAACATTTGTTGACCAGATGTGTGACATATAAGATGAATATCGTGATCTGACTCATCTAAATGTACATCTACATACATACCAGTTTAATTATATACTATTACTATATAATTTTTTTGTTCTATATAATTTATACATCTATAAACTGAGTCGTCTCGTTGCCGTTATATTTTGTGATAATTTCGGGGGTTTCAGAATATTACCGAGTTTAGATATTGTATAATCTTTTTAGTCTATATGTTACACACAAGTGTCGAGTCCTAGATGGGTTTTGTGGCTGTTTTGTAATATTTTGGATCCTTAGAATATTACTGTGTCTTTAGAATCTAAAATGTATAAAATTATTTGACATGGATAATCGGGGGTTTTTAAGGGGTTTTTAAAACATGAAATTTCCATCTCTCTCAACTTTCAAGTAGTGGGGGGGGGGGTGTTACTGAATAGTCTAACTCCTGCACTTTAGATCATACATGTACCTGTGATTGACTCATGTGTCATGGTTTGTATTCCACGCTTGTACTTGACATGGAGAATAGTCCCCTGTTCAAACCTTGCGGCTTTTTTTATTCAGATCCACTTGTTTCCTGAAATGGACCTAGATTCTGGCAAGTTGATTGTAGTAAACCCAATTTCTACATGTATCTCTCTCTCTCTTCGATTTTGAAGATGTTCTTTTCATCTTATGAAAGCTATGAACATTCCTTTTACATGTCTGAGTCTCACAGCTTAATCCAGGCTAATATGTACTCAGATTTAACTTTTATAATATTGCATTTTACAACGGATTCTTTATACGGCTAAAATCATGCAATGAGACTTTAAAGATGAATAACATTTTGATGTCTCACATTTTGAAATAAAAAATTTGTTGTGTAGAAAATAATTGAAGAGGTTTTTAAAACTGGAGTAAAAAAATATGCTGATTCATCAACTTGTTACACGATATCTATACTACTCTATGTATAATGAACATGCATCAACTGGCATACATATATTATAATAAATTTTGACAGATTACATGGAGGATATGGTAGTCTTTATATAGTCATTATATGTACATGTATAGAGGAAATTAAAGATAAATAATTGACATTCTGAGGTCCCATTTTCATGACCTTGATTTTGAAGTAGGATTTTCTGATGTGGTTTCCCCCCCTTGTTCAGTGGTGCATGACGATGGGCTGGGAAACCGAGGTCCCAGTTACATGTTGGCTTGCATATAATAGAACCTCTGACAATTGGAATTTGAAAAGATGTAAGAGTAAGCCGTAGCACCGTTTTCAGGACAAAATTTCCCTCTTACATGTACATGTAGCGCATTGCATTTCATACGCTTGTCTTCGTTAGCTCTGTTGGTGCAGAAATGCAGGATATTAAACCCAGTTCATTTCATTATAATAAACCATTCGACTTGAAAGCAAACATTGACCTTCATACATAGGACATACATGTATAGTAGACTATACTGTATAGCTATCTTGTTTCTTCATCTCTATTGTAATTATATGATACTGGCTATAGTAGGATTAGATAGTTACGCTACATCGAACATAATATCCTTTAGCTTTACTTTCATCTTTGTCTGTCTACAGTATATACAGGAAACTTATCTGTCCATACAATCACTTTCATTTTACGGGGGTACATTGAACATACATGTTCACATGATTAAATTGAAATTTGTTTTACTATTTTAAAATGTCAATCTTCATTAGCCCAGTTAGAGCTGGGCCCTTATTCACGAAAACTTAAACTAAGATACAATCGAAATTTTAAGACATACTGCAATTCGATTAGCTGACCAGTAAAATCAATTTGCATATATCCAATGAAGTTGCAGTATTTCTTGAAATTTCGGTTGTAACTTAGTTTAAGTTTTCGTGAATAAGGGCCCAGAACAGTAGGATGTTAAACCCCATTTCATTTTATTTATGATTTTAAAATGCCATTCTCAAAAGAAAAATGTGGCTTTTCATTCCTCATATGCTTACCACATTCAATAATTTTACTATTAAAGCCCCAACATTCTAGAATAATGGTTAATAATAGCTTAAAACCATAGACAAACACCGGTTGTTTATTAACGCCCCAACACACCAGAATAAAGGTTCAATATACAGAGCTTAAGACCATTCACAATTAAAAGCACTCTTGCTAAACGTCATTCGTGCTCAAACTGTGAAATCAATCGATCCTAAAGAAAGTTATGGTCACATAAACTTTTACTTTTATTTGTATGGATTCCGCTTCGCCATCTGTATGGTTCTAAGAACCTAATAGTAATAATATTGCTGTTATCTTTTTTTTGTACAAGTCAAAAATGTTTTTTTTGTCCCCCCCCCCTCCTCCTACTCAAATGTGCAGTGTACTTACATGTAATTACATTGTATATAACATGTAATGATACATGTAATATACCTGAACATTGTATCTTTACATTAAAATAGTGTATAGATTGCACATAGTTTACCTCTGAGTTTTATGTGAAATGTCTGGCTTGTATATTATATAATTAGTGTTTATCTACATGACTTCTAGAATATTCTAGAATTTTAATTTCTGCTGACGGGAAATGTGGGAGGGGGGTCTCTTGCCATACAGCTCCAGTTACCATATTCTCCATTCCAAATTTTAACAATATTTCTGTTTTGATTAAGTATACTAAGCCTGTTTTCATTAGTGCAGTAATGCAGGAAGTTAAACTCCATTTATTTTATTTACTGATTAACATTTTTATTAAAATATATCATTAAGAACAAAATAACCTACATTCTAGTTGTAGTGCAAGTCATATTTATTTATTAAGCGGGGATTTGGATAGCCGAATGGTTAGCGTGTTTGCGCTGCATCATAAGGTCTGCCATTGAGTCAACTGGCGTGGTTTCGATTCCCCGGTTGTATGTCCAACCTCTTGGGTTTTCTCCGGTTCCTCCGGTTTCCCTCCACTACTAAAGACCCCTACGTGCCAACGAATTGTTGAAATAAAATTGAATCATATGTTAGTCCCGTAATGACCTAGTTTGTGTCGAGTGGCCGTTAAACCCAATTTCTCTCTCTATTTACTAAGCATGCTTGATATCTTTTGTCTGTTTCAATTGTGGTCTAAATATTATTTTTGTTAAGTTTTTATTTTTGTCTATTTCAGATCAATGTACGCGTCACTACTATGGATGCGGAGCTGGAATTTGCCATCCAGCCAAATACAACAGGCAAACAGCTGTTTGATCAGGTAAGCTTGATTATTATTTAATTGATTTATAACTTGAGTAAAGTTCTCTAGATCTTATTAATGAATACTTTTATTTTAGTGAGAAAATTGTTTCTTCCATGCCAAATGACAGAAGAAAACTCCCCCTACTCCTCCAATAGAATAAAATACATGGCTGTAAACGGTTCCCATGGATATGCCCTATTCCCATGGATGCCCCCTCCCCATTGATATGCCCTAATGGTTGCCTATTCCCAACGATACATGTATGACCTATTCCCATTGATTTTCTCCTGGAACAAATGAAGCAAAGCCTCAAAACTATTACATCTATTTTAGAGATTGTTGTTGTATGTACCTGTATAGAAGACTGGAAATAGGGCACCTGTGTCAGACCAGGCAGTTATAATTTGATATTAACACCTGTATAAATATATTGTTTCATTTTGCCTTACAGGTGGTAAAGACAATAGGCCTTCGGGAAATTTGGTTCTTTGGATTACAATATGTTGATTGCAAGGGCTATACAACATGGTTGAAACTTAATAAAAAGGTAAGTTTTGTATTTTTTGCTATTGGACAATAGCTACCCAATTTGTTTTTCTTCTTCTCTTTGGGTGCTTCAAAAGAAGTCTTTAGTCTTTGCCAATTCAATAACAATCAAAATGGAACTTGAAATGGTTGTTGATAAACTTTGATGTTTGATACATCTCAATTCCAATATGGTCTGATGATGTCATGATAGGTTCATTGTCTATGTACATGTAGTACCATCTTACTCGTTTTCAGTGCTATTATCGTATATATACTCATGTCCAAAAGAAAATATACACTGTGCATTTTGTGCTGCATGAACCAAAGTCGTTTTTTCCATGGTATGCGGTATTTGGGTAGAATGTCAATTTGTTTCACATTTTTATTTTGCTTAGAAATGTTGAGTTTGGACTTAATCTAAATAAAACTTAGTCATACTTTTAGTGTGTATACTTTCTTTTGGACATCAGTATAGGTTTTTACAAAACAATGGTTTACAGATAACTGAAATACACACTCAAACAATTAAGTTGGATATCTCTATTTGTGGCATTTCTTCGGGTCCTTTGGTGGTTTCCCCCCACTGCTAAAGACCCCTACACGCAAGCGAATTATTGAAATAGTTGGATATCCCTATTTGCGGCATTTCTTTGGGTCCTTTGGTGGTTTCCCCCCACTGCTAAAGACAACTACACACAAGCAAATTATTGAAATAGAATTGAATCTTATCTTAGTCCCAAAATGACCTAGTTTGTGTCAAGTGGATGTTAAACCCTATTTCTCTCTATATAGTGAGATATACACTCAGTCATGTAGGACATCACAAATATTCCTAAATTATTCAACAATATAAAATTTTCATTGTTCAGCAGTGCAGTAAATTTAAACAATTAATATTTTTATTGTTTAATCAACATTTAGTAATTGAACACATTAAAATAAACACAACAATTCGATGGAAAACAATTACATGTACTGTATTTTAATCCGAGTTAAGTTTCTACAATGAATCTATGATAATCAATATTATTGCTGTCATTCCATGATATCCAATATTATCCAAGACATTCCATCATAATCAATATCATCCGTCATTCCATGATATCCAATATTTTCCATGACATTCCATTATAATCAGTGTTATCCATGACATTCCAATATGATCAATATTATTCATGACATTCCATGATGATCAGTATTATCCATGACATTTCAATATTTTCAATGACATTCCATGATGATCAGTATTATCCATGACATTCCATTATAATCAGTATTATCCATGTCATTTCAAGCTTATCAATATTAAAATTTAATTGTTTTTGACAGGTAAACAGTCAGGATGTGAAAAAAGAAACACCTCTCCAGTTTAGATTTAGAGCCAAATTTTTCCCTGAGGATGTATCAGAAGAACTTATTCAAGAAATTACACAGGTAACTTCATGCTGCTTTGCTTCAATACTCTTCTTCACAATATGTCTAAGATGCTGGCATCTTTATGAAATTGTATATGTATATTTTAAAACTTTTGTGTAGACTGTGACATATAAATTAATGATGTGGACGTATGTTGGCCCATTACACAAATGACTCCAAACTTTGCCATAAATGATCCACCCCGATATATGTGGTATCAAATTCACTACCATGACCCCATGAATGTTTTAGGTCATGATGCAGTTCAATTTGGGCTCCGGACGAACCCGGGTATCCTGATAATACATCAATATACATCTTTGATCTCTTGCAAAAACTACAATATTGTGGAAGTTGAATCTCTTAAAGTAGTATCAGTTTAAAAATATTTGGAGGAAATTTCTCTCACAGCCTAGCGTGGTTTTCCCTCATAGCACACTGTATGGCGTATGCCCGTCTTCATTAGCCCAGTTTAGGAGTAGGACGTTAAACCCCATTTCATTTCATTTTCTCTCATAGCACACTGCATAATATATGCATGTCTTTTTGTCTTGAATTCGATGTCCTTTCTGTTTTGGATTTCAATACATGTAATTTATATACAGCATTATTTACCCTTTATTTCTTCCAGAAAATGTTTTTTCTTCAAGTAAAAGAGAATTTGTTAAATGATGAAATCTACTGTCCCCCCGAGACGGCTGTTTTACTCGGTTCCTACGCCTGTCAGGCTAAATATGGTGACTACAACCCCCAAACGCACACAACTGGTTTTCTGGCTAATGATCGCATTCTTCCACAAAGGTAAGTCTAGCCAAGTCAATACAATGTTTATAACAGTCAGCTATTATTATTATTATTCCACATCAAACATAGTTAGGGAGAGATCGATATTCTACGAATATTGGATTCGTCTTTATGTCGGTGGAAATGGTGGGTGGGTAGGTGGCAGAATAGTTGCCAGATGTGTGTTTGATCATACTGTCTGTTTTTGAGTCAAGTGTTGTGGTTTTGATTCCACGCTTGTACGTGACAAGGAGTAGGGTCGTCTGTCCAACCTCGTGGATTTTCACTGGTTTCTCCAGTTTCCTCCCACTGCTAAAGACCCCTACGCACCAGCAAATTATTGAAATAAAGTCAAACCATGTTAGTCCCAAAATGACCTAGTTTGTGTCCAGTGGGCGTTAAACCCAGTCATTTGATAATCACAAATGTATATTAAAGTGAATTTATCTCATTGAATCTGTTTGATATGGTAATACAATAGAATGAGGATATATTTTAGTTAATTGTGGGCTGTTCAGGAAGTGTTATGGAATTGTCAATGACTAACATCCTGTACTTAGAGGTGCCGATTATATGTACAATGAAAAGATAAAAAGCTAGCAGCTTCAAGTAACTTATATAAAATAAATGAAATATTCTATTGTTATTTAGTTAAAGATTTGATCGTAGCAAGAATTTGTGTAGGTTACATAAATTACTAGGAAGTTGCTGTGGCTTCCATGTATGCAGCCATTTGTCACAGGGTGGGTGCAAAACAATAAGACGCAAAGCCCCATTTATTTTCCCTGCACCTAAAGGATATTGAAACACTCCGATCGTACCCTTATGTTTTAGTTTCTGGAGCATACCTTAGAAACACTCAAGATGGTCTTTTTACAGACATTAGTCTATTTTGTCCATAGGAAAATTTTTGGGTTTAATAATTTTGTGTTTCTATGGCAACAAATTTGACTTCATTTCTGCAAAGAACGGGATGTTGATGGCCGGGTCTTCTTGGTTTATTTCAGTGATTTTCCAAGATTTTGATTTGAAGGCAAGATAATGAGAATATTATTTTATCTTTTAGAGTATACGAACAACATAAATTAACTAAAGAACAATGGGAAGAACGAATAATAACATGGTATTCAGAACATAAAGGAATGTTACGGTAAGTTGAATAATACACTGCCATGATGGATCATAATTTAAAATATTGTGCATATTCAGCATAATTTTTCTCACAGTGACTCAGTAAGGTATTGTCTTATTATCCAGGAGATACTGTGTCTTGATTCCAGTGTTGGAGATAGTTGTAGCCTGCTTTCCTCAAATTCCTGGGCCTTGCAAGGAACAGTGTCTAGTCGTTTGGTTTGGGAAAAAAAAAAAAATAGAGGTCCAATGTGTACATGTTGGTGTGCACTCTTAAAAGAAAGCTTGGTAGTTGGATTTTGACCAGGAATAGGCAGAAATGTTGCTGACTAGGCAGAATTTTCCCTATAACACACACCATGGCATACGTCCATCTTATGTCAAGCTGATGCAGTAAGACGTTAATAAACTTTTGTTTGATTTCATTTCATTTGTTTATTATAGAGAGGATGCCATGATGGAATATTTAAAAATAGCACAAGATTTAGAAATGTATGGTGTGAATTATTTCGATATTAAAAACAAGCGAGGAACAGATTTACAATTAGGTGTTGATGCCCTTGGTTTAAATGTATACGAAAAACAAGACAAGTAAGTTGGTATAGATTAAATTTGTAATATTTTTCAAACCACTATTTGTTTTGAAGAATGCAGTTATCTGTCTGTCCATTACACGTTTTGAGACATTACACTGCTTATAAGTGAATTACAGAATTTAAATTTGGTGGAGAGGGGTGGATGGCTGAATGGTTAGCGTGTGTGCGCTGCATCATAAGGTCTGTCATTGAGTCAACTGTCATGGTTTCGATTTCCTGGTTGTATGTGACAAGGAGTAGGGATGCCTGTCCAACCTCGTGGGTTTTCTCTAGGTCATCTGGTTTCCTCCCACTGCTAAAGACCCCTACGCGCAAGCGAATTATTGAAATAAAATTGAACCATATGTTAGTCCCGAAATGACCTAGTTTGGGTCTAGTGGACATTAAACCTCATTTCATAAATTGTATGTCTTGACCAAGTTCAATAATGGCCATTTTCCACATTCTCTACTCAGAGTGTTAAAGAGCTTGATGATTCTTATTTTGTGATTGAGGCCAAGGACTTCAGCTCCACTGTTGGATTCTTTAATCTATCTCACTCTACATTGCTTGACCAAGTCCTGGTGCTGCTATCAAGATGTCCAATATGAAAAGAGAGCAAACTGTAAGACTTTCAATACATTTCATATTAAATGTCTGTTCGATTATTCTCTTATTGCTCTATTATTTATTCTTTCAGATTGACGCCTAAGATTGGTTTCCCATGGAGTGAAATTAGAAATATTTCTTTTAATGATAAAAAATTTGTTATTAAACCAATAGACAAGAAAGCACCTGTAAGTTATTTAACATGTTATTAATTAAATCTGATATAAAACATCTCTACCTTGTCTTTACTACAGCAGGATCAGGGAAAAATTGTTGCATAACCCACGTTCTGGGTGATAAGAATATACCCAGTGAAATGGTCAGTCCAGCAGCAACAATATCTCATGGTCTGTCCAGCAGCAACCACTGTTTAGTTTCTAGAGCAGTTTTGAGTAATTAGTTAGTCTGTTAATTACTCAACACATTTTGAGAAAATGAACAATTATAAAGCCAACACTCAGTATCTAATCTAGACAGACCCATTAAACTACACAACAGTATAAACCCAATATTTTCTATGATTCTCAACAGATTTAAACAGTTTACCAACAATGGTTTGAAACTAAACATTAAATACATAAACTCCTGTTAAAACAACACAACTAAATGATACCCAAGTTGTAGTGATCTAACAAATCCAGTTGGTGCAAAAAAGTAGGATGTTTAAACCCCATTATATTTCATTTCAAAAGTCGAAGATAAATTTTGTTTTTTTATCGTTTCAGGATTTTGTGTTTTATGCACCTCGTCTTCGAATCAATAAACGTATCTTAGCCTTATGCATGGGTAATCATGAATTATACATGAGAAGACGAAAACCAGATACAATCGAAGTCCAACAGATGAAAGCTCAGGCTAGGGAGGAAAAACTCAGCAAACAACAAGAAAGGTACAAGTCCTAACCTCTTGTAGCCCAGCATTTCCTAATAAACGAATTGGTAGCCTAAAATTGTTAAATTCCGTTCAGTATTTTCAAAGATATGAATTTGAGGAGGGTGGATGGCTGAATGGTTAGCGTGTGCGCGTTGTTTCATAAGGTCTGTCATTGAGTGAACTGGCGGGGTTTCGATTCCCTGGTTGTACGTGACAAGGAGTAGGGTCGCCTGTCCAACCTCGTTGGTTTTCTCCAAGTCATCCGTTTTCCTCCCACTGCTAAAGACTGGACACTAAAGCAAATTATTGAAATGAAATTGAACCATACGTTAGTCCTGAAATGACCTAGATTGTGTCGAGTGGATTTTAAATCCCATTTCCGTCTCTCTCTGTCAAAGATATGAATTGAAAATTAAGCAACATTCAGCATCTTTTGCAGTATCACGATGGGGATAGTGTCGGAGTATAATCGTTTGATTGGCATTGAAACACCCACAATTGCTTGCAGGCCGGTAAATTGTCTATTGTTGATATTTTGTTTTCCTAATTGAATAATAGATAATCAATTCAAGTACATTTTAGTCTGAATTAAGCCATCAAAAATGTGATATTGTCGAAAAAATGTAAATGATGATCATCGACTTTAATCATTTATTGATTTTATTCTTCAGAGCTCAGATGGAGGCATTGAGATTAGAAAGATTAGAGATGGAAAGAAAGAGGAAGGAATTAGAAGATAAATTACGCCAGTTGGAAGACCAACAGAGGAATGATAGAGAAGGTATAAATTTTATAGGTTTCACAAAACATTCCCAGAATTGACTCCACTTTCAATCACTATTTATGAGACATATCCTTGATCTAGAAACAAAAAACTTTGCAAATAGTTTCTTATTGATGTATCTGAAACATTAAAACAACAAAAGTTTTATAAAGGGCTATATTTTAGTTAAAATAAGGCGAACACTTTTGAGTAAATTCTTAGGCTGGCAATGTTTTGTGAATTTCCCTTATAATACTGAATGCCCGTCTACATTAGCCCAGTCGATGCAGAAAAGTAGGACATTAAACTCCATTTCAATTCTTGTGGTAAAGATCATACCATGATAGTGCATACAGAAATAACAAGTCTGATACTTTGTTTAAAAACCAAGAAAAACATTCATGCTTTAAATTTTTTACCTTCAGCTCGTGAAGAATTGCAGAAGAAGAGTGTGGACGATATGTCAACACTACAACGTATGGTTGATGAGCAAGCTCGTGAAGCCGAGTTACTACGACAACAATTAGAGGAGGCTAAACACATGGAACAGGAAAGCCGAGATAAATTGGTAAGTAATGATGATGATTTCTGGCTTGATGTATAAGAATTTGTATTGCTGTCAAATTTATCCATGAAACAATACCCATGTACTTTGAAAATTGGTTATTTGTGGTTAGAAGTATCAGAATTTGCACAACTGACAAAATTGATCTATATATCTTGAAAATTATTGATTTTGCACATGCATAAATTTATAATTAATTAAAAACAAAAAAATAATATATAACTGTTTTGTCCGAGATTCTGGTTAAACAAAGAAAGATGCAAAAATAAAAATAAATATATGTCCTAGAACTTTTGGTCTTGAGATTCTTGTTGAAGACATAAAAACACATAATAAAAACAAAACACCCTGAAACTAATGTGCAAGATATGGAACATCAGATTGTAATGCTAGTATTGAGTTGGGTTCTTACTTAAGTGGTCTAACCTGTCGTTGAGTCAAGTGATGTTGTTTCGATCCCAAGTCTCTTTCCCAAACTAATGACTTTTCTCCAAGTCCTTCGGTTTCCTCCCACAGCTGACTAACCCTACGTGCAAGCAAATCATTGAAATAAAATTGTACCATATGCTAGTCTTGAAATGACATAGACATGTGTCTAGTGAGCTTAAACGTCCTGCATTAACAGTTGCTGGAAGAAAATTTTAAGTGTTCCCAAGATCTAAATGTCTTTTTTCGTTTTTGTTATTTAGTTGGTTGAACTTGAAGCTGCCCAGTCGAATCTAGAGGCCCGATCATCCGAGCTAGAGGTTAAACAGAGATCTATGGCTGAACTCCAAGAAGATTTAGAAGCTGCTCGTCTCGCTGCTCTAGAGAAAGAAAATAAATTGAGTGAAGTTTTGTTGAAAGACCAGGAGAAAGAAGAGCAGCTGTTGACTTTACAGAGTCAACTTCATATTAGAGAAAATGAACATGATGAAAATGATGAGGCTGGTTCCCAATACGGTAAGTCGTTATCTACAAGACCAGTCTTGTCTAAAATTCCTATTGGGATTTTCCGATGTGGTTTCCCCTTGCCATTGGTGCAGGACAGAGGGCTTGACAAACACAGCTGTTTCATTTGGATTGGATGAAAAACCAAGGCACATAAAAGATCCCTTGGCAGTTGAAATTTGATATAAGAGTAGGATATAGTGTTGCTGCTCAGGCAAAAATTTCCCTCATAGCATTAATTCAGGAAGCCACACTGACTCATTAAACCAGAGATCCCCGGTTCGATCCCATCATTGGTCATGAAAGTAACTCACGATTTTCCAGTGTGGGTTCCACTTGGCATTGGTCTCGTCGTGTGGGTCATGCGATTAAAAACATGTTTTGTGTGTATGTAAAGTAACTTTTGGCAGTTAGAATTTGAAGAGCAGACAGAAATGCTGCTGTCTTGACAAATTTCACCTCCAGCATGTGTCATTGCAATGAAAATTACCATATGTTTTATATGTTAAGGTTAGTCGTCATGACTTAGTAAGACGCTGGCTTGCTCGCCTGGAGGCCAGGGGTTCGCTCCCAATGTTGGCCGAGAAAGTTCATCAAGATTTTCCGGAATTGTTTCCTCTTGTCAGTAGTGCAGGATGGAGGGTATGACAAGTACAGCTGTCGTTTGGATGGAATGAAAAACCGAGGTCCCATGTACACGTTGACGTGCATGTAAAAGAACCCTTTGCAGTTGGAATTTGATATAAGAGTAGGCTGTAGCACTGCTGTCTGAGTAAAATTTCCCTCATAGCACACTGTATGGCGGCGTATGCCCGTCTTCATTAGCCCAGTAGGACAGTAAAACCCATTTCACTTCATTACATTTCTAACCTCATGCTATTCCATATGTTAGTCTCCAGTATTTTATTGACAACATGTTAATCCCCATTCCATTCCATCTTGTTGATGAAAAATGCTTTTCTATTCTCAGGTGCTGAATTAGATGTGCATGAAAATGAGGAACTTCCCCGTCCTGAAGAAGAAAGAATAACACAAGCAGAAAAAGACAAACGTATTCAACAACAATTAAAGGTTTGTAGAGTTGTTTACAGTAAAATTTACACCTTCACTTAACACATGGTCCAGGGTTTGATTCTGGTGAGGGCTTGGGTGATCTATTGGGTTAACATAAGGTCTGTCATTGAGTCAAGTGGCGTGGTTTCGATTCCTCGCTTGAACGTTACAAGCAGTAGGGTCGTCTGACAAACCTAGAGAGTTTTCTCAGAGTCCTCCCGGTTTCCTCCCACTGCTAAAGACCTCTACGTGCAAGCGAATCATTGAAATAAAATTGAACCATATGTTAGTCCCAAAATGACCCATTTTGTGTAGAGTGGATGTTAAACCCACCATTTCTCTCTTTATCTTGATTCTGATCTTGGCCAAGTTGCTTGAGACTTTCCAGTCTGGTTTCTCTCTTGAGAGTGGTGCAATATTTGCTTGAAGGTCTGGCACGGAAAAAGCATGAAGTTGTTCAAAATGGACAGCAAAACCCAACAAGGTTCCGTGTGTATCATTGGCAGCCAGTCAATGATCCCCTGACAGTTGGAAATTGAAATTTATTGACATTTAGTAATTGAACTGGAAATTACCCCCGGCACTGTTTATTATTGAGCAATGATTTAGCTAGGATTCTCTGGCAGTGGCCTAGTGTGTGAGGCGCTGGTTCGTTGAACAGGATGTCACAGATTCAATCATTATGTAGACTTAAGAAGTTCCTCAAGAATTTTCACCCTTGTCATTGATGCAGCAAGAAGGAGCATCTAATCGATTGGATGGGATGGAAAACCCGGGTCCCACATACATGTTAGTTGTTGAAAACGGAGGTCCTGTGTACATGTTAGTTGTTGAAATTTGATGAAGCAGATTACTGTTGACTACTGAGCCTTAAAACCACATGTCCAAGAAAGGAAGCATGGCTTGGAAATAATCCCAATTTTGATTTAACCTATCATTTTAATGTTCTTTTTCTTTCAAATTTCAGGCCTTAAGTAAAGAATTAGAAGAATCTAAAGAAGAAGAAAAGGTTACCGTTACCGACCAACTTCATGCAGCTAATGTGAAAGCTGGCCGCGATAAATACAAAACATTAAAACAAATTCGACAGGGAAACACTAAACGTCGGGTGGATGAGTTTGAATCAATGTGAATAAAAACTATTAACTATAATAAAATATATATATATAAATATATAACCAGGCCCGTTTCCGTTCAACACATCAGGATTTCAATTGTACAAAATAAGGACGTAACGGTTTTACAGATTTTGACGCTGAGTAGTATGAATAATCCTTGTCTAAACATAGAGTGGACAGCTTAATACACGAGGGATCCGTGTTCAATCGAGAAAAAAAAATCTTAACTTTTTCATTTCTAGACTTGATTGACTGATTATCCAATATGGCCGTCTGTTCTGAAATGATAAATGCAGGGAGACTTTTTCTTGTTTGAATTGCAGCCCTCATTTTGTACAAATAGTTAGCACTAATAAGCTGTTTACGAAACTTTTAGATATATCTTTAATGGAGCGAGCCAAGTAATATCGTCATTGAAAATCCTGTTCTTTTCCGATCTTCCACTTTACATTTCAATTCATATATCTTTAACATTTAATCAAATTTTTCTTTTTCTACTTTTATAAAAAAAAAAAAAGAGTTTAAGTCCAGGTTTAAAAAATCTTCTTATTGGATTCAAAATTGATATTAGATTGGCTCAAATAGAAAGTTTTGTTTAAACCAATCTCGAGTTTTACAAAACGATTTACAATTAGGATTAGTTGTGGAAAAGGCCTGAATTATTTACTCATTTCATCTCCGGAATCATTGCTTCAGATTTCTGTTAGCAAATTAGGATGTTTTGTTTTGTATTGTTTCGGGAAAATCACAAAAATTAATTTTTATTAACAATATATAAATATATATATATATATATAGATAGATGTATATGAAATCTACGCAAATTGTACATTCTACTGTTATCCTTGAGTACTAAAAATAATTTAAGTGTGAAGCAAGAGGTTTTCGTAGCATGTTTCATAAACAACCATGAAATTATTATGAATAATTATTGAACTAAAAGATTTGGTCTTTATCTCTTTGCAAAAAAAAGAGCCTGTGATTTTCAAATATTTTCATGAATAAGACCATAGACGAATATGCAACAATAATTTCTTGCTTTACTACATCTTTTGAAGATTAATTGATTTATATTTATTTTGAAATTGTCATGTTTATTTCTTACGACCAATTTTAAATTTTGTATACTGGGACTAATTTTTTTTTTTTTTTTTTGAAAGAAAAAGTATTTTTCTATTAAAAATATTAGATGAAGCTTGTGATATTAATTTGTAAAAAATTACAAAACAATAAAAAGTTTAAAATGAGAATATATGTTAATACAAATAGCATGTTTTTTTTTGTTTTTTTTTTTAATTTGTTTTTTGTTTATATAGATGAATATAACCACGGTTATTTAGTTTAGAACAGATGTCAAAAGGGCTGGGGGGTATATTGTGAACTGTTTTTGGACTAGGAACTGGTTGTGCTAGGGCGACTGATCTTGTTTAAAAGGAACCAAAGGTTCCGTCGACTCATTCACAATCAACATGAAATTTGGCTTGTTCCTTGGACAATTGGGCCCTTAGATTTTTGATATGTTTGTCACAATTCCAATATGACTGCGATGGCATACTCGATGGTACTTGTTAAGGACGTGTCACATCTATTGGTGACTTTACTTAAGGTTCTGTTTTGAATTGAGCCATGGCAGTAATCGATAATTAGTCATTTGCATCAAATAAGTAAATTTATGGAGAAGTTGTTTGGTGTTACAGAGAAGAATATCTTACTTTGTGTATGAACCCTGTCATCACCCTAGCTCTTTTCATGTCTTAATGTATAGATAATGATTTCACATTATTCATTTTTGAAAACGGTTATATTCCCTATGTATCGACTTCGAATTTACTGTGAAGAAATTGGCCTTAGTTTGGAAATATTGCCTTCATTTTAATTGCCTATCTCTCTTGGATAAGAATTTTTGAAATCTTGAAATACCTTTTACAAAAAGAGTTGAACTTGTAAGGACACTTTCAAAATAGTTTATTTCAAGTTGAGAGACATTTTCATGTGATGTATGGTGATTCAAAATGTCAAACCAGGATTTGTCTTGTAGGCAAATGTTGCTGTAAATTTTATGCAATCGGACATTTTAAGGCTAAATTTTGTGTTGTCAAAGAATATTTTTGCTAAAAAAAAATAAAAAAAATATGACAAGACTCCACATTGGGATGCTTGATTGTCGGTCTGGATGCTTCTGAATTGACGGAATTGCAATCGTGTGACGCAGAATTAAGTTGTCACAGTTCTGTCCGTCTCAAGAATTGAAGTAGTGACGCAATTCAAAGTAAATGTTTTAGCTGTCGTGGTTGGTTGATATTTTTTCTTATCAATCGGTGCCTGCGCTGTGTTATCCGAAATTCCCATTTTCACTATTCGTCGAATTGAGAGAATTTAATTCGAGAACGTTCAATCGAGCATTCCCATTATCTCGAGGTATTTCATTCATTATTAAATCTTAAAATGTTATAACACATGATCTAAATAAAGATTATTTATAAAGTTTAGTATAGAAGTAGGCCTGCTTTCTTGTTTAGGTTGAAAAATTGAGTTTGTGAATTTCGAAGAGAGAAACAAAATGGTTTTATGAAGAAATTACATATTATTATTAACCCTATATCCATCTAGATGATGTCTAGTAATAACGATACATTGAATACCTTGACTGCTTTAGTGGACATATAATTTATTAGAAGTTGAAGCATTTGCACCAATGCACTATGTACACTACACTTTGATGTGCACATAAAAGAACCACTGACAGTTGAAATTTGAAATAAAGAGTAGGCTGCAGTTCTGCAGTCCAGGAAAATTTCCCTCATAGCACACTGTGTGGCGTACACCTGACTTCATTATTAGCCAGGTCGGTATAGGATGTTAAACCCCATTTCATCTTGGCAGCTGACACTAGGGTTGTTTGGAAATCTTTACACAAAAGAATGAAGTCATATGTCTCGTAGAGCCACTGACAATCGTGTATAATGTGATCAATTACACTTCACCAACTCATGTCCCCATCAAATTGTAAATTGGGTTTCTAATTATAACTACATGTATCTCAATACAAATAGACATTGTTGTAAACCAGCATAGAAATAAAGATTTTAGTAGTACCTTATGGGTGTGCTGGAGGTGTGTTATATTTACCCTTAAAAACACAGACGAATCTATATCTGACAAAATGACTTGTAGTGCCTCATCATATTGCCAGAATTTGTGACTGGTGCCTAATTACCAAGCTTGGTGTAGCTGTTGGCCTTACTTTTATTTGTCTTAATTTATGCCTGACATTATCTGTGACTGGTGCATTATTACCAATCTTAGTTGAATCCCAAGATATGCCTGTTAGCCTAACTTTAATGTGTCAGCTATTGCAGTCAAGGTATCAGTTCTGTCATATTATCTTAATATTGTGAAGATGAAATATATTGTACAGTACTAAAAACCTAGAATATTATATTTTATATATCGATAAATATACACAAAAAAAGATGTACAAAATATCTTAATTAATCTTCATTTCATATTTTATCCATTTTTTGTCATTTTTTTTTTAAATCCAGAACTGCTTAATTTCTAGGTTTTTTTGATATGTGTATGAGAATTATATATATATATATATATTATAGTGTATTATATATCTAAAAAATAGCAGTGGACCAAGGGTCAGTTTCTTAATAAAAAATGAATAAAATATTAGTCATTACCAGTAACAAAAAATAATTTAAAGAATTGAAAATTACTTGTAATCTTATCACCAGTATTGTCACAATAACAATAAAAACGGTCTTACAGTTGGTTTTATTTTTACCGTAATATGGTAATAACATATACTTTGGGCATATAATGGCAACATTTACAGAAGCTATTGAACAAAATCCGGTTGGGGGGGGGGGGCTGAATGCTTAAACGTGTGTGCATTGCATCGTAAGGTCTGTGATTGAGTCAAGTGGTGTGGTTTTGATTCCCGCTTATTTGTGACAAGGAGAACGGTCGCCTGTCCAACTTCATTGGTTTTCTCTGAGTCCTTTGGTTTCCTCCCACTGCTAAAGACCCCTATGCACAAGCGAATTGTTGAAATAAAATTGAACCATAAGTTAGTCCCGAAATGACCTGGTTTGTGTCGAGTGGACTTTAAACCCTGTTTCTCTCTCTCTCTTGGTAGATTATAAGGACAAATGGTTAGCTGTATGTAGAATTAGATTTTTTTTATATTTAGAGAACTGTGGAATTGCATTACAGCTGACTTGACAATTTGTTTATTTAGTCACAAAATCTGGAATTATTACCAGCCAATTTATACAGTGTATAAACAGATCACAAGAAACAATTTAATCATAAATAAAGAAAATTTTCTTAAAATATTTGGTTTACTTAATTATTTAATCAAAGGGTCCTAGAAGATGCAGTTAGGGGAAACTTCTCCACATTGATGAAATAGTTTCAAATGTGACTTCTAACAGTTCTAACTCTGCATTGATGACATATTTTTCCAATGTAATATTTAAAAACAATTTGGATGGGGCGAAGTTAAAATAATGGCTATACAACTAGAGCGGGATATTTTGCATAAACAAAATGAGCTCTCTGACACAGAAATTTTGATACATGGGTGCAGGGAAGTCAGAATGGCTGATATCACAGAAGTCCCGGAAAATATTGTAACAATACAAAAAGAAGATAGTTAGCTACAACGTGCATTTTAGTGATAACCTAGTATAAGCAAGGGAGCCATGGTGGCTCGCTAACCCGCAGGTCTCGTGTACAATTCTATAGAAAATGGAGGTCCCGTGAACAGATTGACATGCATGTAAAAGATCCCTTGGCAGTTGGAATTCAATATAAGAGTAAGCCGTACCACCTCTGTCCACCCAAAATTTCCCCCATAGCACACTGGCGTATTAGTCCAGAACAGTAGGAGGTCACGGTGGCTAAGTGGGTAAGACGCTGGCTCGCTAGTCTGGAGGTCAGGTGTTCAATCCCTGCATTGGCCAATATAGTTCCCCCTTTTCAGTGATGCAGGACAGAGGGTCTGACAAGGGCAGCTGTCTAGTCATTCGGGTGGGAGGGAAAACCGAGGTCCTGTGTAGGCTACACATTGCCGTGCATGTAAAAGATCCCTTGACATTTGGAATTGGATATAAGAGTAGATATAAGAATCTATATCGATCACCGCTTCAGCATTTAGGGGCTGCGGCCATTGTGAGGTGACAAGGAAAGTGTGCATAGTTGTTTGGATGGAACGGAAAAATGATGCCCACCTATGGCTATGTGTCGTCCACATGAAAGAAACCTTTGCCGATGTCCAGGCAAAGTTCTCCCTCTTGCACTGCACCTATAACTACAGAATTAAAATTTAATCTCAAAATGACCGAATATTGTGTTGAGTGAGTCCTTATGCCCTGTTCAATAGGCTATTCCATGTCATATAATCAGAAATGTGCGGAAAGAAAATAAAATGGAGTTATTTCCCTTCAATTTGTTGACGTTGAAGCAGCCTCCTGCGTGTACATTTGTTGATGTTGGAGCGGCAATAGAGCAAGGCACCGCAAGAAAATTTACAGACGAATTTTTATCAAGCATAAAATATCAACATATTTATTGCATTTTTTGTAAAATATGCCACGGGTTCAGATAATTAATTGTGCTAAGATCTTTAGAAGAGTTGGCAGTTTATAAATCTGCATTCAAGAAGAAAAAAATGGTTGGTTTGTTTGCTTGTTTATTAATTGTGTGATGTGTCAGGCGAGCTGGTGAGTGAGTGCCGAGTTGACATCTGTCATAGAAATGAGTCTGTTCGTTAATCGATAGCTGCGCCAGGTTTTTTTGTTAACAATTTGTTTTGGGTTAGATATTTCAATGCAAAATATCATTTATTAACTAAAATACGGTTGTAGAGGTAATTTTATTTTTTTGTTGGATTGTTAAAAGAATTTGTTTTGGATAATTAAGATATTCAGTGAATAACTAGGCCTAAAATTGTTTTGGTTAGACATTTCACTTAGATAACAAACCTTAATCTTTCAACCCTCCGTGTTTCGACATCAGTATATCTCAGCATTTTTAGTTATGTTCTGTAGCTACATTTCACTCAGTGCAAAATTTCATTTATTAAAAAATATACTGTTGTAGAGGTAATTTTATTTTTTTGTTGGATTGTAATTTGTTAAAAGACTTTGTTTTGGATTAGACAATCAGTGAATAACTAAAATTGTTTTGGGTTAGACAATTCAGTGCCAAGCAAAATAACATTTATTAAAAAATATAATGTTGTAGAGGTAATTTTATTTTTTTGTTAGATTGTTTGTTAGGTCTATATAGGGGTAATTTTATTTATTTGTTATTACCACTTTGTTTTTGATTAGACATTTTATTGCATTGCAGTAAAAACATTAATTAGCTATATGTAGGCCTACTACAGGATGCCTGATTTATATAGTTAGTTTAAAAAATTACATATTTAAAGCAGTCACACTAAAGAGTATGTGGAGACTGAGAGAGTATTATTTTATTGGATGTCAAATTATTTTAGTGGCAGTGTACAAACTGTAGGCCTACTTACTGTTTTTAGATCGAAGAAAAAATGTATGGGACCATTGATTGAGATTTTAATTTGGAAGATTGGCAGTAAAACGTTGCAGAGATGGAGGAAACGTTAAAGAAATTGGCAAAAGAAACCTCGACACCGAAACTAGCTTTTATAAAACAGTCGTGTACAAAGGCTTTAGGTAAGTAAAAGCAGTAGAAATACACTATAGTTATTGGTTGGTAGTTCAGAAATGCCTTTATTTTAGCTATTTTCTATCATAACCTCACAGCATTTAAAATGGTTAAACCTCATAGATTTATGCCCAAAAGCAAAATGTCCATCTTTATATCTGTTGATTTTTTGTTTTGTGGGATTACCATCTGTTTTTATTGAAAATTGAGTGGGATGGCTGGACTCCAAATGGCACTTGTTTCAACCAATTCAAAAGTATTTTTGTAATTATAGAGAGAGAGAGAGAAATGGGGTTTAACGTCCACTCGACACAAACTAGGTCATTTCTGGACTAACATATGGTTTAATTTTATTTCAATAATTCGCTTGCGCGTAGGGGTCTTTAGCAGTGGGAGGAAACCGGAGGACCCGGAGAAAACCCACGAGGTTGGACAGGTCATTATAACTTACATGTATCTAGAAAAAACTATTGATGGAGTACATTGAACATGGAATGATATAGGGACAATTATCCTGTATCTCCTGTGGGTTCAGTTGAGGTTTATTTATAAGAATTTAAATTCTCAACAAATTCTGATATTATTCTGTATAACTATTGAAATTGAAATAAAATGGGGTTTAACATCCTAAAATTTCTACTCCTTCCAGGCCTACTGTGAGGGAAATTTTGAAATTTGCCAATACAGTGATGCTACAAGTCACTTTTGTTTCAAATTCCAACGTGACCTTCTTTTTGTTCTGTCCCATCCGAAGGACTAGATGCTGTTCCTTTCTAGGCACTCTATCACTGATAAGGGGAAACCACATCGGAAAATCCTCTGGAAGTTTCTTGGCTATGACTTGGATGGGATCGAATCCGGAACCTTGAGGTTAGCAAACAAGCAGATTACCTTCTGAGTTCCCCAGGATTTTCTGATTTAGTTTTCAGCCATCCGATGGCATTGAGGGTTGATTATAGTCTTGTCATGTTAATTAATGACTAATTAATGACTAATTAATGATTGATGTAACAATTAAGAGCTAAAGAAACACCAGCAATACACAAATTGAGCTATTTCATGATGCATTTTTTTTAGGGTATAATTAATTATAAAAAGAAAATTGTTGATAAATTCTGATAATTTATGGACCAGACTACTATTGTTAATGTACATGTATATAGCCAGCTGCCAATTGGACATGTTGCTTATAAATACTGACAAACCATTGACTGATTGAACATACAGCCATCTGTTGTCACACCTATTACAGGTTATAGTTTATACTATTTAGTTAAAGCCATTACATTTCTCTACTTTCACATGTTCCAGGTTATTAATTGTGTTAAAATGAATTTATATTGTTATTCACATTTCAAGTTACAAGGTCATTTTTGTTGATTGTAAACATAGATAAGTCTTGTTGCATAGTTAAACAGGCATTATGTAAGAGCTAATTGTGCCTATTGCAGGTCTTTCTTTAGGCCTTAAATGTTATATAAATTATTAATTAGACATTTATTAACATGACAACACCATAATCAACTCTCTATTCCATCTGATGGGTCCAATTTTCAACAGATTTTGAATCCGATCTGCGGTTCAAAGGTTCTTGATGACTAACCGTAATAATGAATAATCAAGACTTTGTTGATTATTGTAACAACAATTAACAATGACAATCGAGACTACAATTGAAATGATGATTTCTCGGCTCAGAGTGAAGTAATTTGACTAAAATGTTCAACATATTCCCTTTACATTATTATCTATTTTTTAACTACTATAGCAAGAACTGTCAGCTCTTTATCTAAATCTCCCATAATGCCGCTTTAAGATAAACCGATATACCATCTACATAGGCTACTTGGGAGCCGCAGTGACTCAGTGAGTAAGACGCTGGTTCACTGGTTCCCTCCCGGTGTTGGGCAAGAAAGTTCCTCAGGATTTTCCGACATCATTTCCCTTTGTCGGTGGTGCAATGTTGGAGGGCCTATCAAAGAACAGTGTCCAGTCGTTCGAATGGGTCTGTGACTGTGTTGTACATATTGGCGTGCATGTAAAAGAACCCTTGACACAGTTGGAATTAGAAATAAGAGTAGGTCGAATATGCCTCATAGTCATAGTACACTGTATGGCATTTGCCTGTATTCATTAGCCCAATTGGGGCAAAACAATTAGCAAGTTAAACCACATTTCATTTAATTTTGCAAACTCTTTGTTATACAGAATCAGATTTAAAACTCTTTGTTATACATTTCGAAATTCGATGGTACTGCTCCAAAATACTGTATTGGTCTCTTACAAATGTAAACAGTTATACGCGTTTCTAACTGTATACTGCTGAGGGAGGTTGGGTGGTAGAGTGGTCTAACACATGCACTTTAGATCATAAGGTCTATCATTGAGTTAAATGAAGTAGTTTCAATCCAGTAACAAGTGGTCTAATGCATGTGCTTTAGGTCATAAGGTCCGTTATTGAGTCGAGTGGCATGGTTTCAATCCAACACTTATGACAAGGAGTAGGGTCTCCCATACTCCTCTCAGTGTTTCGTTTGATTAGTGCTAATCCCACTTAACCCTGCTATAATGAAAGCAAATTTCTGTTCCAAATTATGACTGATCAATAGCTAACTGCGTAACAATATCATTACGCTTCAAACAGATCTCCAAATAGGACCAAATATGTTTACATAACGTTACGTGATGACTCACGATTTTATTGTGCACAATTAACCAGTGCATCGCAGAATATTGCAGAAAAACTAATTGCGTGACAAACGAGGCTATCAGCACGGATACAATGTGAACAATACTGTTTGGAGATGAACAATACTTTCACCGTTTTTAATACCTTAATCCACTGTCCAGAGTTGTAGGGAAGACCCCAGATTAAACGAAGGGTTGTCATGTTTCTGTACTTGGGATAGATTTGATTGAAGGGGAAGAATAGACACGCTCATTCAAAAGCGCAAGTATCAGAAGCCAATGCAGCAAAGGCCAGAGAAGGATTTCTCGGGTCATTGCTTCAGGAATATGAGGGTTGTCTGCCTAACCTTGTTTTCTCCAGTTTCCTCCCACTGCTAAAGACCTCTACTTGCAAGCAAATAAATGAAATGAAATAGTTCCATATTTTAGACCAGAAATGTCATAAATTCAACAGCTGAGGAATGATACCATAAACTGGTTTAAAAAAAGACCCTAACCATCAGGTTGTTTCCTAACTTAATCACTAAACACTAGGTCACAATGTACTAGTATGTGTTTACACATCAGCATAACATTGTTATTTCATTTGAAACAAACCGAATAGATAATATCTATAGGGTATATAATTTGATTTTCCCTATTTATTAGTTTTAAATTGTTTCAATGACATTTAGTGGAATCCAGATTGATGTATATATGACAGTTTATTGTAGCCTACTATTAGGGAGGTTGGATGGCCGAATGGTTAGCGAGTTTGAGTTGTATCATAAGGTCTGTCATTGCGTCATCTGGCGTGATTTCGATTCCCCGGTTGTGACAAGGGGTAGCATCGCCTGTCCAACCTTGTGGGTTTTCTCTAGGTCCTCCCGTTTCCCTACGCACAAGTGAATTATTGAAAAGAAAATTGAACCATATGTTAGTCTCAAAATGACCTAATTTCTCTCTCTTATTGGACTATTAATTTAAAACCATATTGAAAATGATCTATGTACCAAGTGAAACCCATATATATATATATATTACCTATATGATGGCGGTGATCAAATAACTGATCACCCCTATCTCGATCCAATCTATATATATACATTTTATTCCATACATGTATGACACATACTGTCTATTTTCAGTCACACAGAGGTAACATTTAGTACTAACTTGAACTGTAAATGCATGTTTTGACTTAGTTACTTTAGTAACAAAGCCTTAGAGACCCCTTGTGCTCTCTCTTCGTTACTTACGCGTCCTAATGACAACTAATAGGAAAATAAGGCCTTTCCCCCATCTCGGTTCTAAGGCTATTTTAGAATCCTTACCGTCTATTTTTCACCGTGATTCTTCTTTGATCGCCAAAAGGTATCATTTCTTGCCACATCCGATACAAATTTATAATAATCCAATACTATTTTCATGTAGAATTTAGCACTAGGGGTCTCTAAGACTTTGCTACTAAAGTAACTAGTTTTGACTAGGCAATTTTGTTTTATCAAGTAATCATTCCTACATCCATTGAATATTACACAGACTTTTATATATTACATACATCGACTGAAAGTAACACAGACTTTTATATATTAAATCCATTGTATATAATATAGACTTTTATGTGTTAAATCCATTGAATAATACATAGACTTTTTTATGTTAAATCCATTGAATATTACAAAGACTTTTATATGTTAAACCCTTTGACTTTTATATGTTAAATCCATTGACTTTTATATGTTTAATCCATTGACTTTTATATGTTAAATCCATTGAATATTATATAGACTTTTATATGTTTGGAGCCGTTGTGGCTAAGTGAGTAAGTGGCTGGTTCGCTATCCTGGAGCGGGTCTCAGGTTCGCTCCCAGTGTTGGATCCATTGAATATAACAGAATTTTATATGATTGTTGTATTATAGTAAATGTTATATAATATTATTACAGAGATATTAGAATCACCAGAAAAACTGTCTTCTACTCCAACACATGAACTGAGAGAAAGATGTCTGGAACCAATACAACAGTCCTTGGAATCAAGATCCAAGAAATTGATGGCCCATGCTCTCGCTGGACTGCACGTAAGACCCTAATATTATCTGTTTAACCATCTAAAAAATATGAGGTCATGTCCTCAAATTGATTATACATGTAAAAGACCTCTTTGTGTAGTATGAATTAGAAATGAAAAGGGGTTAAAAGTTCTACACCAGAGTTTCCCCCTAAGCTTCATGGATATCCCGCTTTCAAGGGTGCTTTCTCGTGTACAACAACATTTACACTGGACCTCGATGTTTTGTTCCACCAAAACAAATAAATGCTGTTCCTACCCAGGCCCTATGTCCTGCTCGGCTGACAAGGGGGATCCAGACTAGAAAATTCTGAGCATCACCCGGAATTTGGCTTGCGTGTCTGTGAAAAATTTCTCCCAGAGAAATTGGGAGCCACGGTGGCTGGCCGGCTAGCCTGGAAGTTGAAGGTTTGCTCCCGGTGATGGAGAAAGTTCATCAGGATTTTCTAGCATGATATCTCCTTGTCGGTGGTGCAATACAGAGGGCCTGACAAGGACAGCTGTCTAGTCTTTCGGATGGGATTAAAAACTGAGGTACTGTGTACACATTGGCATATTAAATAATCAACTTGAGTCCATTTTAGTGTGACTTAAGTCGTGGAAAGTTTGATATTTTAGATCAGGAATATTTCATACTATAAACTACGATTAGCCTACTATGACTTTCATTCCTTACGATATCGGGGGTTACAGTGGCTAAGTGGGTAAGACGCTGCCTCGCTAGCCTGGAGGCCGGTTGTTCAATCCCTGCATTAGCCAAGAAAGTTCATCCAGATTTTCCGGCGTGATTCCCCCTTGTCGGTGATGCAGGATGGAGCGCCTGACAAGGACAGCTGTCAATTCGTTCAGATGGGACGAAAAACCTAGGTCATATGTACACATTGGCGTGCACGTAAAAGATCTCTTGACAGTTGGAATTCGATATAACAGTAGGCCGTAGTGCCACTGTCCGGGCAAAATTTCCCTCATAGCACACTGTATGGCGTATGCCCGTCTTCATTAGCCCAGATCGGAGCAGAACAGTAGGAAGTTAAACATCATTTCATTTCTTTTCCTTTCCTTGCGATATCTGTTTATTTTTTTGCATATTTCAGGATTTATTAAATGATGAGAGATTTCAATCAAGTTTTGAGACAGCAGAAGAACAGTTGCTACCTGTACAGGTGTTAAATACAGTTTATATCACACCTAATTTACCTGAAGAGGTCCAGGTAGAAATAATGAAGGTATGTTGATATTACACTTGCACACAGAGACCTATCCACTCTATTTTGAGATAATCTCTGCCCTAAATGGCCACCATCATATCCAACAATTGGTATACTAATTAAACATTTTCAATTTTATTAAATGCAAGCAGAATATATACTTCGCAAAATTCTCGAAATATACTGAGTGTATTTGACTAAAATCGTCGATTTAGTACTTAAAATGTTGGTCAACTAGCTTAGAGTCTGTTCTTAAGTGGAGCTAATTGTAGACATACAGCTTAAGTTTAGTATGCTGATTTTTATGGGAGATATTTTCCACAGGCTTTTCTTTTAGGCTGTGGTGACTCAGTGAGAATGGTGCTAGCTCACTAGCCAGGTTAGGGGATCACAGTGGCTAAGTGGGTAAGACGCTGGCTCGCTAGCCTGGAGGTTGGGTGTTGGATCCCTGTATTGGCCGAGAAAGTTCATCCATATTTTTCTGGCGTGGTTCCCTGACAACGACAGTTGTCTAGTCATTCGGATGGGACGAAAAACCGAGGTCCCGTGTACTCATTGGCGTGCACGTAAAAGATCCCTTGACAGTTGGAATTCGATATAAGAGTAGGCCATAGTGCCGCTGTCTGGGCAAAATTTCCCTCATAGCACACTGTATGGCGTATGCCCGTCTTCATTAGCCCGGTTCGGAGCAAAACAGTAGGACGTTAAACCCCATTTCATTTCATTTCATTTTCTAGCAAGGTTAGCGAGTCAAAGTCTTACTGACTGAGCCACCATGGCTCCTATTGAATATTCAGCTAGAGTTTATTAAACCTTGTTAGTAACATCTATTAATAATATAAAAATTTGAATTATTAGAATTAAAACTATGAAACACACATGATAATAAATTCAGTATTATTGAATTATGTCAGGTATGTTAGCAATTGTATTATTGATAATATCTACAGCAAGTTGTGTGTTTATTTTAATATAAATCTCCACACCTGTTACATATATATAGGACTAATATTATATGTTAGCTATAACTGATAATAATATAACTGTGGACAACAGGGGGGTTGGATGGTCGAATGGTTAGTGTGTTCATGTTGTATCATAAGGAGAGTGAGAGAAATGGGGTTTAATGTCCACTTGACACAAACATACGGTTCAATTTTATTTCAATAATTCGCTTGTGTGTAGGGGTCTTTAGCATTGGGAGGAAACTGGCGTGGTTTTGATTCCCCGGTTGTACGTGACTAGGAGTAGGGTCGCCTGACCAACCACATTGGTTTTCTCCAGGTTCTCTGTTTTCCCCCCACTGCTAAAGACCCCTACGCACAAGCGAATTGTTGAAATAAAATTAAACCATATGTCAGTCCTGAAATTACCTGGTTTGTGTCTAGTGGATGTTAAACCCATCTTGTGGAGTAATCTCTCTAGCTCTCTCTCTCTGTATACAACATATCTATACTACTATTTGGGACTGCGGTTTGTTTGTTTAGGGTTGGCAGTCACAAAGGCCATCCCAAGGCTGAAATTTGGTGTATAGGGGTAGCTCAGACAGGGGAGTAACTTAGGCCTGGTGGCGATGGACTACCACTTCTGGTTTCAGAGTTATGCTACTTTCCGTTCATGGCTATACCAGGTCAACCGCTAGAACTACATATGTCAGATACAGAAGGGTGGGGAGGAGAGATATAGGGTTTAATATCTACTCTATATACATAATAGGTAATTTCGGGACTAACACATGGTACAATATTATTTCAATATTCAACATAGGGGTCTTTAGCAGTGGGAGGATCGTGAAAAAAAACACAACGTTGGCCAGACGACCCTTGTCGCGTATTATTCTGTTTGTTTAGAGAGATAGAGAGAATTGAACGTCCACTCGACATATATTAGGTGATTTCGGGACTAACACATGGTGCAATTTTATTTCAATAAATGGGGGTCTTTAGCAGTGGAAGGAAACCAGGGGACCGGAAAAAAAATACACAGTGCTGGGCACATGACCCTACTAATCTTTGTCACATACTTTTCTGCACTAAGCAGACTAATATCCTACTGTTCTGTACTAATAGTTCTAATGAAGACATACACCATGCAGTGTGCTATGAGGAGAATTTTGCCTGGGTAGTATCGTTTCTGCCTACTCTTCATTCTTTAAGATAAGATAAGATAAGATTTTATTGTATCATTTCATCCAGCAAGGACAGCATACATTTTATTGTATCATTTCATCCAGCAAGGACAGCATACACAGTTTAAACAAAAGTTGATTATACAATTATAACATAACATCTGGTCTGATCATTTATGTTCAAGCCAATGAATACCCATCTTCAATAGAAGGCTTGATCTCACTTTAACTCTGTACATCTTATCAAGACCTTCACGTAATCTCTACATTTATCGTCACGAATTTTGATCGGTCATGGACCCGACTCAAGACCTCTCATATTCCTTAAAGATACATTATGAGAGATTCGATAACGAGTTGGAAGTTCTCCCTATAATAGTTAAAAACTAGATAATGTAAAGGCAATTTGCTGAAAATTTCATTCAAATTGATCCACTATGAACCGAGAACTAAGCGGTTGAAATTTCCGTCTAGCCTTGATCATCATTACTAAAGTCAGTACGTTAAACAGCATAGTCTCGATTATCCATTTAATCATTAAATCGTGAAGGAAATTTATGCAGTAAATCGGCTCATAATCGACTAAAGATGGCTAGCGATGCCATCTAGAGTTGATTATGGTCTGGATAGGTTAATTAATGTCTAATTAATAATTTAGATAACATTTTAGGCCTAAAGATAGACCTGCAATAGGCAGATTTAGCTCTTGCATAATGCATGTTTAATAGAAAATATCATCGCGAATACTAAGTCTCTCGCTGTCCAACTGAAATGTCGAGTTGTGATAATCAAGTTGAATGTTTGTTCAGTGTCAAGGTTGCTATACTATGATCCACTTCACATCTCAGTCCAAACCTTTCTAATTTACTTTTGTATTCTTCCATTATGCTAGTAAGTATGCTTTAATTGGTTTTCTGTGAGTTTTTCTACTAAAAAAGCTTTCAATGACTGTAAATGAATCTATTGTGTTATGTGTTCTGAATGGTGTCAGGGATAAGCCAATGAAACGGTCTGTCACGGTGAGCTTTAGGCGTGTTTTGCACTGAACTGTGGGTAATCCACTAGTAACATCAATGCTGATTGGTTAATCAAATGTCTGACATCATAGGGTCATAAGTCGGTCTTTTGTCAGATCTTCATGTAGTGTAGGCCATCAAAAGTATAAAAAAACGAAACGAAATATAGATCTGTATTCTAATCAGATTGGTAGAAAATAACATGATGGGAGGTTTGGAGAGCTCTTGAATATAACTTTTATTTAAATTAATCACTGAATATTATTTACATACATGGAATAATTCACATGTTTTTGAATTCTGTTTCAGTTGTTATTGAATATGACCTTCTCTATAAGTTGGTGTATGAATGCCAAGGTCATCTGTAAAGTTTCACAAGTAAGTTCTTATGTTATATTTTATGTTTCAGTGAAGCGGCTCTTGAAACATTCTGAATTAATTAGGGGCGGATTATAATAACAGAGGCTAAGGACACTGTAACCACCATTCAGCCCATCAGAAAAATTAAGTATGTTGATTAAGTCGAGGGGGGTTGGATGGCCGAATGGTTAGCACGCGTGCGCTGTATCATACGGTCTGTCATTGAGTCATCTGGCGGGGTTTCGATGCCCCGGTTGTACGTGGCAAGGAGTAGGGTCGCCTGTCCAACCTCATGGGTTTTCTCCGGGTCCTCCGGTTTCCTCCCACTGCTAAAGACACCTACGCGCAAGTGCATTATTGAAATAAAATTGCACCATGTGTTAGTCCCGAAATGACCTAGTTTGTGTCGAGTGGACGTTAAACCCCATTTTTCTCTCTCTCTCTCTCTCGATTAAGTCGATTATGATTCTTGGACCGGCCAACTCTAAAATTAAGCGGGCCAACCAGGCTCTGAAATTAAGCCTGAAATTGGAAGAATAGTAAGCATGTGACATACAATAACAAACGACCTACATTGTTAGCATGGCTACATTATCTGATGAAGGCAATCGTATGCATGCAATAATAACAAATGACCTACATTGTTAACATGGCTACATTATCTGATGAAGGCAATCATATTCTTGCCATAATAACAAATGACCTCACAGCTATATTCGGATTAGCTGATGAAGGCAATCATGCTTACCATAATAACAAATAACCTACATTGATAGCATGGCTATATTATCTGATCAAGGGATTCATATGCTCACCATGATAACGAATGACATACATGACTACATTATATGATGAAGTCAGTCATGCTCACCATAATAACAAATGACCTACATTTATAGCATGCTCAACATAATAACAAACGACCCACACAAGAATAGCACAGCTATATTAGCTGATGAAGTCAATCATGCTCGCCATTAATAGCAAATGACGTACAAAAATAGCACGGCTGATTTAGCTGGTGAAGGCAATCATATGCTCGCCATAATAACAAATGACCTACAGGAATAGTACAGCTCTATTTTCTGATGAAGGCAATCATATGCTCGCCATAATAACAAATGACCTACAGGAATAGTACAGCTCTATTATCTGATGATAGCAATCATATGCTCGCCATAATAACAAATGACCTACAAGAATAGCACGGCTAATTTAGTTGATGATGTCAATCATGCTCGCCATTAATAACAAATGACATACAAAAATAGCACGACTAATTTAGCTGATGGATACAATCATATACTCGCCACAATGGTCTATCATAGAAATGGATGTGAAAGCGGACGTAAAATACAACTAACTCACACACATATATGCTGGTGACGAGTAACAAAAAGGTTACAAATTTAATTTGTAAATATTTTTTTTGTTGATCAGTTATATTTGGATATTTACCTGGGTGATATAAAAGGTGACACAGGAAGACTAGCATACAATAATTTTGTTAGACTTTTAGATGTTATTCATGAACGCCGAGTTATTATTGAAAACTTACCTCCACCTGCTCTTCATCAGGTATAGAGACGACAAACTAACTTTACTTGGTCTTCAGGGTTTTAATATTAATTTCTATGGGGACAGTTTTATGGGGTTAGGGTTTCCTTTCCTTTTTCTAAGTGGCATTTAGTAATTGAACAGTAACACACTAACACTATTTATGAAATAACAATTACTGGTTTATTAACATGCAACGTTTCGAGGATGATACTCTTGTCTTTATCAAGTGAATGGGGTTAGGGTTATTTGTATTTTCTTGTGGCTCGGGTATTGTATTTTTATGGGGTTGGGTTAATTGTATTTGTATCTTTATGGGGATAGTTTTATGGGCCAACGGTTATTTGTATTTTTATGGGGCTAGGGTTATTTGTATTTTTTATAAGGGTTAATTTTGGGTTATATTTATAAGAGCATTTTAATATCAATTCTCAAACACAAACCTTTTCTTGAATAACATTTTTGGAAAAACTACAAATCAAACAATAACTGGTATAATTTGTGACCACATGCTGTATTTTTGTAAGCATGTTTTAAATATTATTTTGTCTACTTTTGTATTATATTGAAAAGGATAAATTTTTAGTTTTTTTCTTATATGTCATTACTGTTCAAAACAACTCGTATTAATTGGAGTACTTGGAATTCAATTTAACTCTTAGATAAACACATAGAGCACTTTTTATGCTACACTTTAAATTAATATTGAATCCCTGAAAATCAAGTAATGTGACCTTGACATGACATCTGGAATGAACTTTAACCTTTGACCCAGCTGTTGGTGACCCCAGGTGTATTATATTGGTGATGGTGGTTGAGGGAGTATGTAAGGTCTGAATAAATAGATTTCAGGGCTGGAGTTCATTGCTTAAATGTATAGTTAAACTGAACCACTGCCTTGAACAAAAAAAAAGTCAGTTAAAGGACAATGTTACTGCTATCAACTTTAGATATGTGATAGAAATAGTTATACAAATAGAAATCTTTGCCATTGTTTGAAGATCTCAGAAATCACCTAAAAAAGCGAAAGCAGTTAATTTTACCGACTGAAGAAGGGAATGACAGGAGTTACATAGACAATTTTCAACTCACTGATTACACAATTGTCCTTTAAGGTATTTTTACCAGTCCTCACTGACCCTTCGTCTGACAAATGTGGTTAGTGTACATGATCTTGTGTATTATAGACTCAGCTTAAATAACTATTTGTGGTTTTCTATGGCAGTCCAATGAAGCCAAAATTATAATGTGAGAGAGCAAAATGAGGTTTAACGTCCACTCGACACGAACAAGGTCAAGGAGGTGGGAGAAAACTGGAGAACTATGGAAAAAGCCATGAAGTTGTGCTATTGACCCTCCTCCTTGTCTCAATGACAAACCTTATGATATAACGCCCCCCCCCCTCTCTCTCCCCCTATTGTAAAAAACAATACCATATCGGGACACTCATCCTATTTGCCAAACCTTGACTATAATTCTGTGGTATTGGCCGTTGTTTTGACAAGTGTTTATCATTTAGCTATATTGGTCTGCCATAGTCTTCCCATTTAAGAGGCAATCTGACTTCCAGGAACCAAATGATGATTCTAGAAACCATTGAATCAACTAACTATCACTGTAAACCGCAGGAAGCCTCCATCAACTTTTCTGTCCAAAGAGGGTGGGAATAGAGCTTTTAAAAAAGTAAATAATATAATGAAGCCCTTTTTCAAAAATAAAATCAATTTAAACCCAGGATATTCTAACTATAGCAACCTACCACAAAGAAAGTGTATAGTATAGTCCGGGCATGGATTAAAAATCACATTTTTGCTTGTACACTAAAACTAAAATGCAACCTGTTTTCGTTTAATTAAAAGAGCTAAACCTCTTTAATTTAGGTCAAAATAAATTTAAATAAAGTTTTCAAACAGGGATTTTTATAAGAACTGTTTTTGTCTTCTTGTAAAAAGCTTTAATCGACTGATAACACACTGTTTCCTGCAGTTTGTATCGTAATATTAGTCACAATCCCCCCTTAAATTCCCATTCTGCTCTACCTATCTACCTACTATGAACTGCTGCTTACTTCCCTTGGTTTGGACTCTCTAGGTTTATGTGGATACATATAGTGGAAGCTCGCAGAATGTACGGGGTTCGGTGAAGGCAGCTATGACTCAAATGTTAAAAAGCTTTACAGAGAAGTTGCGTGAGGTGGAAGAGACGGTGGTAAGCATGCTTTGTTGATAATCAGTTAAACTCCTTTAATGCTGCGCGGAAAGAGAGCCATGGTTGCTCAGTGAGTAAGGCACTGGCTAATAAAGTTCTGTGGGATTTTTCGGCAAGGATTCCCTTTGTCAGTGGTGTGTGACGGAGGGTCGGACAAGGTACAGTTGTTTGTATGGAACTAAAGATGAGGTCCTGTGTAATGTTGTTTCACCTTGTTAGTGGTGCAGGACGAAGGGCCTAGCAAGGACAGAATCTAGTCTTTTGGATGGTATGAAAAACAACCCCCCAAGTACATGTTGACATGCACATAAAAGAATACTTGACAGTTTTAATTCAAAGAAATATGAAATAAGAGGAAGCTGTTGTGCCGCTGCCCGGGCAAATTTACCCTCATAGCCCACTGCTTGGCATATGCCTGTCTTCAGTAGCCCTTTAATTTTCATTTCAATGACTACGCTCAATCTTCTGCGAATTTCAACTGCCGAGTGTTCTTTTAGGTGCAAGTCGATATATATACACTGGTGAACTTTGGCTTTTGATTCATTTAGAAGAACCAGACTCACTCTCCTTGTCTGTGCAATATGTGAATGTGATGCACGTGTAGATTACTGTATGTCTGTCTCAAAATGAGCCAAGTATTTTGTTATAAGAAGCAAGCAAATTAGTGTTAAGAATTTGTTTTTGATATTTTGTGATAAAAAGGAGTTTAATTGATTTATTCATCTATATATAAACTGGAAAACTTTACTGTGAAACTGGAAACTTGATGAATGTTTCTTTTAATTTTATAAAGTCAGTTAATTTTAATTGGCAACATCAAATTTAGTTCATATTTAAAACATTTCCTTTGATAATTAGCCTCCTCAGATATGAAGACTATAAAAAAGTTTCAATAGAGATGGCAGACACATCCATTGGATCCACCCATAAATCTCAATAGTACTGAAACACATATTATGGCATTGTCTCCCTTTCTCAGCCATCAGAACGATTAAATCTGATCAAAGTTTAAGTACTGCCTTGTGCTTGAGACTTGTAATGTCGTTATCTTAAGACTTTGACTCGGAAATGTTAAGATATCTTTCCAGTTTCATAGTTTCATGCCTGCTGTGTGATCTGAATCTCATTCTCTCTCTCTCTTGCTTAGCTTTTTGCTTTCTCTGAATTCTATTGATATGTATGTAAACTGTTATAAGATTATACAAGATGGTTGTACATTGTGCATAGTGAAATTTCATTATGATCATCAGTTTATTTGAAAAAAATATTAATTAATTATATGATATTACAATACCATGATCTTCAGTTTATTCGATAATTAACCGAAATATTAATTTTTTATAACACTGTAAATATAAATTGATAGTTTTAATATATCTCAGATTGTTACATTGTTGTACATTATAATCCTTGTGAGTGGCATTTAGCGATTGAGCACATTAAAAACATAACACAATCCATACAGAAAACTATCACTGGTTTATACACATATAGCATGACGTTTCGACGAGTATTCTCTTAACGGTAAGAGAATACTTGTACAAATTTGTACTTGAAAACGATAAGAGAATACTTGTCAAAACGTCATGCTATATGTGTATAAACCATTGATTGTTTTCCATATGAATCGTGTTGTGTTTGTACATTTATAGAAAATCGATTAAGATTTAAAACGACAATCAGTGACTTAATAAATTAGTATTAGACCACTGACTGAGAGGATTATTAAACTATTTTAATAAATATGATACAAATAATTAATTGATTAAATAATGAGCAATTTGTTAATGAAAATGAACCGTTTAATGAACAGATTAATGAACCGATTAATGAATTAATTAATGAACCGATTAATGAATTATTTAATGAACCAATTAATGAATTGATAAATTAATGGATGAATTAATACTACAGGAAGAAGATGGTGATAATGTATTAGCTGATTTTAAACAAGCAGGTAAGATCAAATCAAGCCTGAAAATAAGGCACCTGTCACAGACAATGTCAGACACAAATTCAGACTTGGTCAGGCACAAAACCTCAGGTGTCTGTCATTTTGTTACTCATTAATTTTTTAATAACCAATTGACTTTAGATTTACACACATTGTTTAATAAGATGAGAAAGCCTTTTGATTTTTAATGGTATCCAATAATTACTGCCAGAGTTATGGCCCTTGATCACTTTGAAAAATCTTGTGGATGCTCCAGAGGCTAAGTTAATATCCGATTGACTTCAAGTGTTTAAGGTCATGAAAAGAAGAAGCCTATTGAATTGCAACGATTTCCTATAATTACTGCCTTTGTTATGGCACATTATCACTCTGAAAAATCTTGTTGATGCTCTAGTTAGAAGTGCTAAAAATGTCACCATCTTTTGAAAGAGATAATCTGAGGTAAATGAAATATGTCAAAAATTGACCAGCTGGCAAAGGGAACCAATATTTTAAACAGATTCTGATGATTCTTTCTGAAGAATATATTATTAACATAATTTTGACATATATTCTCTAGGTAATAATTACATGACTGCTGAAGGCCTGATGGATGATATTGTTGCCATTCTACGATTTTTTGCTGGAAAAATCAGTGGAAGTCAAAGGTATTGTTATTCTTTCTAATGACTGTAATTCTATGAGTTGTTACAGTATTTTTGGAGATATGTACTTTTATTGACTGTGAAAAAATGAATGAGTTAATACTTTTATTGACTGTAAAATAATGAGCTGTTTAATACTTTTATTTAGTGTGAAATAATGAGTCAATACTTTTATTGACTTTGAAATAAAATACTTTTATTGACTGTAAAATAATGAGTTGTTTAATACTTTTATTGAGTGTGAAATAATGAGTAAATACTTTTATTGACTTTGAAAAAATGAGTTAATACTTTGATTATTGAGTTAATACTTTTATTGACTTTGAAATAATGAGTTGTTTAATACTTTTATTGACTGTGAAATAATGAATTGTTTAATACTTTTATTGACTGTGAAATAATGAGTTGTTTAATTTTTTTATTGACTTTGAAAAAATGAGTTTTATTATTGAGTTAATATTTTTATTGACTTTAAAATAATGAGTTGTTTAATACTTTTATTGACTGTGAATTAATGAGTTAATACTTTTATTGACTGTAAAATAATGAGTTAATACTTTTATTGACTGTAAAATAATGAGTTAATACTTTTATTGACCGTCAAATAATGAGTTAATACTTTTATTGACTGTAAAATAATGAGTTAATACTTTTATTGACTGTCAAATAATGAGTTAATACTTTTATTGACCGTCAAATAATGAGTTAATACTTTTATTGACTGTCAAATAATGAGTTAATACTTTTATTGACTGTCAAATAATGAGATGTATTTAACTTTTTGTTTACAGTTCTGGAGGCCAGGGTAAACAAGAAATGCAGATATTAGTTGAAGGAATTCTGTCTATATTGTCTCATTCACCTCTGAGTATCAGATATCATGAAGGCTTCCAGGAACTTGTCTGGTACGTATTAATCTTATTTTTAATGTCGATGAATGTCATTTTGATATTTTCAACAGACATGTCTGTCACCTATAGGTCTTATTTATTGCCATTTTAACTTGAAGTTCTGATTATTAATATTTCATGTGACAATAACCAGCTTTACCGAGACCTGTTTAAAAGCTATACCATGAACTGGGGACAGAATTTACATATCAGGGCTGGATTAAGAGGGGTGGGGTCTGACTGGATTGCAGCTAGGGACCCCAATTTGAAAGGGAACCCTGAATTAGTTCTCAAAAGATTTTGTACCATAAATAGATATTTCATATGTTACCGTAGAGTGTAACAAGGGGGATATAAAACTTCGGCAAGTAAGACAACCAGGGGTCATGCATCAGAATATGGCCCCTTTTCACTGTTGATGCTAGGGCCCCGAGTTACATTTTCAGGCAGTGGTCCCATGCAAGCTTAATTCTGGCCTGATAGACTCTATACACTATTTACCCCTATAAGGATGCCATATGAAGAGTCCAGGAGAAGAACTATCTAAGTCACATTTTTGTCTTTTAGCATAAAAGGCAAAACAGACTTTTGCACAAGAATGCTTGACACGAACAGAACAACGAGTGGGTTTAATTACAACTTCAAAATGATGTTTAATATGAATCATAATTACAAGTACAACAACTGACTTCCACTTTTCAGCCAAATTAATTTCAAATAAAGGGTACGATGGACTTGTATTTGTCTGTGAGGTCCATTTCAGAAGGTCCTTTGTTCGATGTGACTCCGATTGTTTTTACCTGAAATTGATTGTTCCACAGAAATCTTTTACAATTTGCTACCAGATGGCGCCATTAACTGGGGTTCGTTGAAAAAGTGACTTAGATTGTTCTTCCCCGGGGCTCTTCATATGTTAATAATAATAATAATAATGACTTTATTTAAGGAAGGTTGAAGATTAGGCTATAATATGTTAATAGTAATAATAATAATAATAATAATGACTTTATTTAAGAAGGGTTGAAGATTAGGCTATAATAGCCTTTCTAACACTCTGTCTTTCACACTGTCTGGTACTTGAGCTGCTAAAGGGATAAAAATGTTTCAATGAAATAACACAGAATTGTATTTATTTAAAGCGGAGTTGGATGGCCGAATGGTTAGCACATGCGCATTGTATCATAGTCTGTCATTGAGTCAATTGGCGTGGTTTCGAATCCCCGGTTGTACGTGACAAGGAGTAGGGTGGCCTGTCCAACCTCGTGGGTTTTCTCCGGGTCCTCCGGTTTCCTCCCACTGCTACAGGTACAGACCCCTAGTACACACAAGAGAATTATTGAAATAAAATTGAACCATATGTTAGTTCTGAAATGACCTAGTTTGTGTCGAGTGGACGTTAAACCCCATTTCTCTCTCTCTCTCTCTCTCTCTCTCTCTCTCTCTCTCGATTCACCGGTTGTACGTGACAAGGAGTAGGGTCGACTGTCCATCCTCGTGAGTTTTCTCCGGGTCCTCCGGTTTTCTCCCATTGCTACAGACCCCTAGTACGCACAAGAGAATTATTGAAATAAAATTGAACTTAGTTTGTATCGGGTGGACTTTAAACTCCATTCCTCTCTATTTATTTAAACAGGAAGTATTTATGTCCAGGATTAATTTCTCTGTTGGGAACACCAAAAGCTGAGAAGAGTATATTGATGCAGAAATCATTGTCTATGGAAGAAGGTGTTGGAATTGCTAGAGGCTCAGCTAGGTCTACGTCTGCTCCAAATATAAACATATCAACTGCTAAAATTATTTATCTGTAAGTTTCTTTCGAATGTTTAGAGGACCATGTTGTTGTCCATCAATTGTATATGTGATCAAGTCTGGACAGAAGGCACCTGTCACAGACTTTGTCAGATACAAATTATCACATGTACTTTAATATATACATTGTGTGATATGTACTGGACAAAGTCTGTGACAGGTGACTGAAGTCCAGGCTTGTATATATATCGGGGGGGGGGGGGGAATGGCCAAATGGTTAGCACGTGCGCGCTGTATCATAAAACCTGTCATTGAGTCAACTGGCGTGGTTTCGAATCCCCGGTTGTACGTGACAAGGATTAGGGTCGCCTGTCAAACCTTGTGGGTTTTCTCTGGGTCCTCGGTATCCTCCCAATACTAAAGACCCCTACGCGCAAGCGAATTATTGAAATAAAATTAAACCAAATGTTAGTCCCAAAATGACCTAGTTTGTGTATATATACGTTGTGTGATAATTTGTACATAACAAGGTCTGTGACGGGTGCTTGATGTCAAGGCTTGCATGTGATAGAACTGGTTAGAACACATTCCAAATATAATTTTAACAGAATGACTGACTCTCTTTCCATATTGTATTTATATTGTCCCCCGCCTTTCGAAGAAAGCAGGGGACTATTAAAATGGGTTCGTCCGTCTGTCTGTCTGTCTGTCTGTCTGTCTGTCCGTCTGTCTGTCCGTCTGTCTGTCCGTCACACTTTTTGGGACACAATAACTCTCTTCCTAATTGAGCTAGAATGTTCAAACTTGGTGTATGTGTTTATTAGGTCAATGCCTTGATGGAGTTCGAAGATGAGCATTTTCCGCTTAGGGTAAGCAGAGATAAGCAATTTGATTGGTTGATGCTTTGGGACACGATAACTCTCTTCCTAATTGGGCTAGAATGTTCAAACTTGGTGTATGTGTTGATTAGGTCAATGCCTTGATGGAGTTCGAAGATGAGCATTTTCCGCTTAGGGTAAGCAGAGATAAGCAATTTGATTGGTTGATGCTTTGGGACACGATAACTTTTAATTGAGCTAGAATGTTCAAACTTGGTGTATGTGTTTATTAGGTCAATGCCTTGATGGAGTTCGAAGATGAGCATTTTCCGCTTAGGGTAAGCAGAGATAAGCAATTTGATTGGTTGATACTTTGGGGCACGATAACTCTCTTCCTAATTGAGCTAGAATGTTCAAACTTGGTGTATGTGTTGATTAGGTCAATGCCTTGATGGAGTTCGAAGATGAGCATTTTCCGCTTAGGGTAAGCAGAGATAAGCAATTTGATTGGTTGATGCTTTGGGACCTGATAACTTTAGTTCTAATTAAAAGGGAGAGTGAGGACACTTGGTGTATAGCTTTATTATATCAATACCTTGACTAAGTCTCGATAATGAGCATTTTCTGCTTAGGGTAAGCAGAGCGATAAGCAATTTGATTGGCCGAGACTTTGGAACACATTAACTCCTTTTCTAATTGAGCTAGAATGTTCAAACTTGGTGTAGGTGTTTATTAGGTTAATGTCTTGATGGAGTTCGAAGATGAGCATTTTGTGCTTAGGTTAAGCAGAGATAAGCAATTTGATTGGTCGAGACTTTAGAACACAATAACTCTCATTCTAGTTGAGTTAGAATGTTCACACTTGGCATAGGTGGCTATTAGGTGAATGCCTTGATGGGGTGTGAAGATGAGAATTTTTTGCTTAGAGTAAGCAGGGATAAGCAATTTGATTGGTTGATGCTTTGGGACACGATAACTTTAGTTCTAATTAAGTGAGAGTGAGGACACTTGGTGTATAGCTTTATTATATCATTACCTTGACTAAGTTTGATAATGAGTATTTTCTGCTGTCATGTCATGGCTGAGTTCAATTATTAACATTGGTCGATGCTTTGGGACAAGATAACTTTGATTCTATCTGATAGAGAGTGCTCAAACTTAGTGTAAAATTTGATTGCTCGATACTTTTGAAAAAAATAAATGTGCGATTAATTAATGTGTCATCTATTTATTTTGGGATTTCGGCGGGGGACATCAGCCTCACTGTTGGCTTGTTTTAGTATAGGTAATGAGTTAGTTCGTCTTGTGAGTAATATTAGTTTGTTAAGACAAGTATTGATTAGAATGATTGGCTCTCATTCCATATTGTATTTATATTTTAGTATAGGTAATGAGTTAGTTCGTCTTGTGAGTAATATTAGTTTGTTAAGACAAGTATTGATTAGAATGATTGGCTCTCATTCCATATTGTATTTATATTTTAGTATAGCTAATGAGTTAGGTTCGTCTTGTGGGTAATATTAGTTCGTTAAGTATTAATTAGAATTTCTGGCTCTCATTCCATATTATATTTATATTTTAGTATAGCTAATGAGTTAGTTCGTCTTGTGGGTAATATTAGTTCGTTAAGACCAGTATTAGAATCACTGTTCCATCGTACGCTGCTCTATCCTCCACCCCAACACAGACTGGATGCACTCAAAGCTATAAACGAGGTTTGTTTCTTCTTTTTTTTCTTTTCATTTTAAAATGCTTTGCATTACTGAAATTCTTGTTCTTCAATTTTGCGATGGACCATCGGGATAGTCGATGCTCCCTCTTAACTTGTAACGGGGGTTTGGATGATTTAAAGCATGTGCGTTGTATCATGAGGTCTGTCATTGAGTAGAGTGGCATGGTTTCCATTCCCTGCTTGTACATAACAAGGAGTAGGTTTGCCTGTCCATCCTCATGGGTTTTCTTCGAGTCCTCTGGTTTCCTCCGACAGCTGAAGACCCCCTATTGAAATAAAATTGAACCATATATTAGTCTCTCTCACTCTCTCTCTCTCTCTCTCTCTCTCTGTATAATATATTTATCTCCCTCTAGAATGTTCTGTGATTATTTATTTATTTATTTTTGATTAGGTATTATCTAGTCCCGAACTCGTCGTAGATTTAACGGCACCACCGATACAGGATAACGGACAGAAATCTAACAAGATGCATCAAGATGTACCATTATTAAAACTGTAAGTTCAAATCATATTAGACAGATGTTAACTGTCTCAGGGCCGGATTACATTAAAGACTTCAGAGGCTACAGCATCAGGAGCCTTCGCAGTCTAGACAGCCTCCAGAGATTAAATGAAAAGTTGTTTCATTTGTGAATGCTGAATCAAATTTTTTTTTTTTTTTTGAAAAGTTGAAACAGGAAATTAAAGACAGTACAATCCATGTCTTGCTTTACGGAATGATGCTATGTGGATTAATTAGAAAGCCAGGTCCCTAGTTCACAAAGTATTCTCAGACTTAAGTTAAGAATTTACTCAACTTTAAATCACTATTTATGAGAAATATCTTTGATCCAGAAACACCAATCTTTGCACTTATTGATGTATTTGATATATTAAAACAACAACAGTTTTATAAAAGGCTATATTTTAGTGAAAATAATGCGAACAATTTTGAATAAATTCTTAACTGAAGTTTTATAATGCTTTGTGAACACGGGGCCTGTCCTTGAAAGATTTTGCTCAAATTAATAATAATAATAATATTGTTAATACTGAAGAACAGTTCGTAGCTTGGTTATATGGCATCAAACATTATCAACCAACAGTGTAGACTTTGTCAGTCTCTTATTTGGTTACAAATTTTTATGTTTTGAATTTTTAAACAAAACATCTTTCATGGAATTCAAAATAAAAGTAGGCTGTAGTGCCTCTGTCCGGGCAACAAAATTTCCCTCATAGCACACTGCATGGCGTATGTCCGTTTTCATTAGCCCTGTAGGAGCAGAACAGTGGGATGTTAAAACCCCATTTCATTTTGTTCTAATTGAATAATTAAGAATTATTGTGTGTATTTTCAGTATTGTAGACTCTCTACAGGAATCTTGTCATTGTAACGATACTGCCGTCTGCTTTACCAGTGTTACATGTGCTGATCAGTTACTTGGTACACTTGAACGATTAAGTAAAGGTGAAGGCCTCACGGAGAATATAGCCGATGAAATAAATAATTGCTATCTAGATTTTGAAAAAGGTAAGAATATTTTATAGGATGATATTGGGAAAGTAATTCATGTTTTATCCTTGAGGAACAAAGACTTGGTAGTGAATTTCTGAAAAAAATGATGGTGGTAGTTTATGTTCACTAAGGTGTAGCATAGGCCTGATTTAGCCTTTCTACCTATAATAACAAAACTTTTTTTTAAAAATCTAAACATGTCTTAACATATATTATTATGAAAAACAATTTAAAATTGCATCTGGTTGCTGTGTTTTATTTTTCATAGTTAAAAAATAATAAATTTGGGGGCTTATGTATTAGAAGGGGATAATGTAAGCAAAATGTCGGAAAACATAAAAGGGGAACAACTCCATCCCTGTGTTTTCCACAACATGACAAAGTCTTCTTGTTGTTTATTAGACCTAATAAGGACATATATTCTAATGGTCAAGATAGTATAATATTCAATTGGTGGCTGCCTTGTCGCTGGAAATTCTTGTGGTTTACGCAATTGACACCTTTCCAGGGACTGAGAGTGACCTCTAGTTTCAAGTTTAAACTGAAAATATATAATGGAGTTACTTCCCCTTGACCTAGGACATAACAAGCAGTAATCTATGAGGATGTTTTTATACTTTGAAATAAAAACAGGTCATTGCTGCCATTTTCAATTGACTCGGTGGTGTCTGAGAATCATAACATTTCTTTTTAAATGGCCTTATTTTTAGATGTATTCAGATCGAGTGATTTACACAATCGTTCTGTTATACTAGAAGAAGATGGTGGATCTGTCAGCCATTCTCGTAATTCAGAAGATGAAGAGGATGATGACTCAGATGATGAAAATACAAAGGTTGGTGTTTTCTACTTTTTTACGTGACAACGATTTGGGTTGCCTGCCTAACCTTGTAGGTTTTATCCAGAAAATCCTTTTTCATCTCACTTTGAAAGCAAATTTATTGTAATAAAGTTATACAGTCCGTCTTTCTGTCCTGTTTTTATTTCTTGAGAAGATCTCATTTCCAGCGCCCAATGAAGCCATGGAAGGGTTTTGAAATGGATACCATCCCCGCTTCTGTCCCAATATTCTTTACAGAGCATAAATCATTAAAGATATATTTATTAAACTATGTATCAACCTGTTGTAGTAGTCTTCATGAAACTTTGTTTGCATATCAACTATTAGAAATTTCTGTGTTTCCATGGAAACAAATTTGACTTAAATTTTGGTATACAAAGTCATGGGATGTTGATAACTGTTGAATCATCTTAATTTCTATAAAAACAGGGATTAGAATCACCGAAGATAAAACTGGGGATGATTGGTCGACAGATCAGTGAAGTAGACGAAGAGATGGAATTAAAGATAACCATACAGAACCAACTACAGACGGCCCAACGTCAAGAGATGGCACGGCGTCATAGATTGTTACGAGATAAATTTGAAGCTGTTGAACGACAGAATGCCAAGTTATTTTTGTTACAGTTTAAACGTGTTTTACCCCAACTACTGAATATGGATAGTATTAGTGATGTTGATCAGGGTTTAAAACAATTCGCTTCTAATTTCTGTTCAGGTAATCGAATTATTATTTATTTTAAAACAGTCTTACAACAATCTGATTAAAATATAGATTTATATTTCATTTCGTTTTTGTATACTTTCGATTATCTACACTACATGAAGATCTGACCAGTTGTACTTGGAGGTCGTGTCAGAGTTCATACGACCTACTTTTGACCCAATGATGTCAGACATTTGATTAACCAATCAGCGTTGATGTTTCTAGTGGGTTACCCACAGTTCCATGCACTCACGCGAAAAACTCGCCGTAACAGACCGTTTCATTGACTAATCCCTCACATCATTGAGACTGCAGGTTATATAAAATCTTACCAAGATCCAAGTGTAGTAAAGATAAGTAAAACGATATTTTGAAATATAAAAAACGAAACAAAATAGGATCTGTGTTTTAATCAGATTGATTTTACAGGTAATGTCGTCAGTAGAATGTGATAATGACAATATTTGTATATATTACAGGTAATGTCATCAGTAGAATGTGATAATGATAATATTTGTATATATTATAGTAATGTCTTCAGTAGAATGTGGTAGTGACGATATTAAACTGTATTTGAATATATATTATAGGAATGTCGTCAGTAGAATGTGGTAGTGACGATGTTAAAGACTTGGTATCTGGTGTTATATTAAATGCTGATGGTATTTATACTGTATCTATACTAGCGTTACTCCTGTGTTTAAAACTTAATATTATTGGTTACTATAGCAACAAAGCTGCCGAACTACCATTAACTGAGGTAAGACTGACAGATAAATAATACCAGTTTGTACAGTAATTCCCTTTAGTTTCTGGGGGGGGTGGTTGACCGAATGGTTAACATATTATAAGGTGTCATTGAGTCAACTGGCGTCGTTTCGATTCCCCACTTGTACGTGACAAGGAGTAGAGTGGCTTGTCCTACTTCGTGGGTTTTCTCTGGATACTCCGGTATCCACACACTTCCTTTTATAAAGGAAATAAAATTGAACCATATGTTAGTCCCGAAATGACCTAGTTTGTGTCGAGTGTACATTAATCCCCATTTCTCTCTTTCTCTCTCCCTTTAATTTCTGGGGTGTTGGGTGGTCTAACGCTTGAACTTTAGATCATAAGGTCTATAATTGAGTCAAGTGGTGTGGTTTCATTCCCAAGCTTGTACATGACAAGTAGTTCGATCTCTAGGTCCCTCGGTTTCCTTGCACTGTTAAGGACCAGCAAATTATTGAAATAAAAGTGAACCATAAGTTATTCTCAAGTTATTCAGGCACCTAAAGACTTGTACACACAAGCAAATTATTGAAATAAAATTGAAATGACCGTTAAACTATCTCTCTCTCTCTCTCGCTCTCTCTCTCTCTCTCTCTCTTATGGATCCTGTATCAGAAGATGAAAATAACAAGTACAATATTAATATTAAGGTATATATTTATTTACAGAAAGAGTTTTTAGATGAAGCATTAGGTAGTGGTTTAATTGTGTATCTATCACCAGCATGGTTGAGTGAAGTATATGTACAGATATTAACTACAAATATACTAGAAACAGCTGGTTACAGTAAGAAAGATGATGCAGCTCTTATAAATATGTTGAAAGGTAAAGTTTTCATTTTCAGAGATCATGATTCGGGTTTTGTCAGTTTCTAGCTCAGATTCATGAATATGTTGGGAGAGTAAATCAAGCTATTATCGGCTCATTTCCAAAGACGACCAGCTTTTATCCTTGTCGGCTAATCCTTAATAGTCATACCTTTGTGTGAATTGGCCATATGGCAATTACAGTCTCGTGCATCTCAGAATCCAAGAAATAGGCACATGTAGCGACAGTTTTTATTATCTCATAAATAAGCTCCTTTGCATTAGCCCTTTTGGTACAGAAAAGTAAGACTTTTGCATGGAAAAGGTCACTAAAACCTACTCTTATTTCAAACACTAACTGTTGAGGGTTCTTTTACGTGGTCCCTCGCCTTTAAATCCCAATGAAATTTCTCTCCCGGTTAGCGAGGCAACCTCTTGCTCACCAAATCAGTCATTTCACATGCTGGTAACCATTTTGATTACCCCCAGCTCTACTGTCATTAGCTATATGACATTGTATATTTTTATAATGTAGATATTGATGGATTAGACAGCCAGCTCTCATATCGTTAGCTATATGTATTATATTTTTATAATGTAGATATTGATGGATTAGACAGCCATGAAATAGGAGGACAGTTATTATGTGTAGTTAAAGAAAGATGTGGTTTTATGACTTTAACACAGGAAACTACAACAATGTCTAATTCTAGAACAGTAGAAGCAGGTAATTATCTATATGGTTGTAATTTACTATTATTATTTTGACTAATCATAGCTGGGTGACTAGAATCAAAGCCTTGCAATTCAGTAAGCGAATCGTGAGAAGGTGAATCGCAATACATCGATTCAACGATATATATCGTGCCAGCACTAGTATTGACTAAGCCACCTTGGCTCCCTGCAGGCTTATAAGTAAATATGAGGCTCATAAGGCAAGTTTTACTTTAACCAGGGGAGTTGAATGGCCGAATTGTTAGCACATGCGCGCTGTATCATGAGGCCTATAGTCAATTGGCGTGGTTTCGAATCCCTGGTTGTACGTGACAAGGAGTAGGGTCCTCCAGTTTTCTCCCACTGCTAAAGGACCCCTACGTGCAAGCGAATTATTGAAATAAAATTAAACCATATGTTAGTCCCGAAATGACCTAGTCTGGGTCGAGTGGATGTTAAACCCCATTTCTCTCTCTCTCTCTTTTAGTTAACCAGAATTTCATATGATTAATTTTGAAATTATTTTTACAGGAAAGAAACTTGCTAAGTTAATATTATATGTCTGTTATGATGAGATACTGGACGTTCTCTCGGTTTTATTAAATGGTAAAAGTTCTTGTGGTACTGGTAATAGTTTAGCATTACTCCTCGGTACAGAGGGGGCCAAAGAAGAAACAATGAGAGCCCGTAATGCCATCTGTGTTAGTCTTGATGGGCTACATAAAACAGCCAGATTATGCTGCACCTTGGGTAAGTTAAAGTCATTTTTCGAAAAAAATCAAATCTTACATTGTTTAATCGATCGATGGTATACACAAGACCTTGGTTAGCCGAATGGTTAACTCGTGTGGGTGAAATCACAAGGTCTATCATGGCGTCAAGTGGGGTGGTTTAGATTCTCCATTTGTACCTGACAAGGAGTAAGGCTGCCTTTCCAACCTTGTGTGTTTTCTCCGGGTCCTCGGGTTTCCTTCCACTGCTAAAGACACCTACGTGCAAGCGAATTATTGAAATAAAATTGAACCATATGTTAGTCCCGAATATGCCTAGTTTGTGTCGAGTGGGCGTTAAAACCCATTTCTCTTTCTCTTTTTATAATCAAAAGGCTTTCTGTGTATTTTTCTAACACTGACATTAAACAATCCATCAAATCACGCTCATGTTTTAAAGATGATAATATAGTTACTAGTATGGTGCGGTTCTGACCCGATACTCAGCGATACTCATGGGGTGCCGCTGGCTTATGTTGTCTATACCCTAGATAAGATGTTGTCTTCAAATATTGACAAAGTTTCAATTCACCATATCTTTGTAAATTCTGAATGAAACTTTTACGAAAATTACGATGTTCTATGTGGGGAAATTTTGCTTGACCAACACGCATATTTATTTCATCTCTAGGTTTGCAGCAAAGATGTGGCAGCGTTTTTACTCAGCTAGCAGCAACATCTTGTGTTAAAGAAGATATGAAGCCGGACGGTAAACAACATAAAACGGGAGTTCTTCCGACTAAACCTAAAATAGCCCGGTTCCACGCGGCCCATGTACTGAGTATGGATGTTGTTATGACAACAGGATTAGAAATGGGGAGTCATTCAGCTGATTGTTGGAAACATGTATTCAGGTATGGCAAAAAAAAATAGGGTCGGTTGGTTGGAAAATAATGCTGATTATTATAATAATGCTGATTCGGTCCAAAATTTCAGTGTAGGAATTTGTCTGCAGAAAACCACGCCAAGACCAATTTATAAAACCTTTCCCCGAATTCACAAAGCATTCTCAGACTTAAAGGTCACTGGAAAAGCTTCAAATTTTTTTAAAAATAATGCAAGTAATTATGTCAATATATTGTTTCCATTAGTATAACACGAAGCCGAATGTCAATATTACTCGCAGAAGGTAAATTTCAACGTTTCAACCATATGTTAGTCCCGAAATGACCTAGTTTGTGTCGAGTGGACGAGTGGACACGGACGTTAAACACCATTTCTCTTTCTCTCTCTCTCTCTCTCTCTCTCTCTCTCTCTCTCTAAAGGTGTGACTAAAATTTGAATAATGAATAATATTTTATGAAGTTGATTTCAATGTTTACATGTATACATCTTATTGCTTTTTTAGTTTATTTATTTTATTTATTTAATTTCTGTATCATATTTTGTAAAGGTATCTGTGTGCTATAAAACTGTACAATAATAATAATAATAATATTTATAATTTAGATGTTGTGCCCATATATCAGAATTAGAACACACATACTTCAGTGGTGGTAACAACCAATCAAGTTTACCCAAGGTTCAACATGGACAGACCACAGATCTAAATATAGATATGGCTCCACCGTAAGTTAAATTCTACGCATTAAAATCTAACCCTGTCTGTAGAGAGAATAAAATTAGAAATCTATTGGTGGCGATCAGGCTTAAGTGAGATTGTGCGGATATAGACATCAGGGACCGAAGCACAAAATGGATCTTGGATGGACAGGCACAGTGCTGTATCTGCTTCCTTTTAATGGTGAACAGAAAGAATTGCCGTTATAGAATGCTTATTTGCATAGACTCTAAGGCTCCCAATCTATTTGACTGTGACTGTGTTGGCTGAGAAAGTTCCTCTGGATCTTTCAGTGTGTTTTCTTCTTGTTAGTGGTACAGGACGGGCCGGGGTCATGGTAAACAAGGTCTGGTCATTCGGATGGGTCGTAAAAGAAACCTTGACAGAATGGATGAATGGTTAGCACATGCGTGCTGTATCATAAGGTCTGTCATTGAGTCAACTGGCGTGGTTTCGATTCCCCGGTTGTACGTGACAAGGAGTAGGATTACCTGTCCAACCTCGTGGGTTTTCTCCACAAGCGAATTATTGAAATAAAATTGAGCCATTTGTTTGTCCTGAAATGACCTAGTTTGTGTCGAGTGGACATTAAACTCTCTCTCTCTCTCTTGCCCCCCATCAGTTTTTAGTGTCTTTGTAAATGCTTCTGTTACCTACAGAAGAATAGAAATAGGACAACTGTCATCGACGCCTTAGTTTGTTGCCTGGCAACCATTATTTCTTTTATTTTTGTTAAATTTTCATTTGTATTTTGAAATTTTATTAACAGAAATGAAAATGAACTGTATGCTTCACCTGTTGTACCAGCTGTACATGTTGCCCCTCAAATCAACATACTTGAACTCATCCGTCAGTCTAGTATAGAATCAGGTTGGGACAATTCATTGACTGGAGGAGGGGTGTTAACACATGCCCAGGCTACTAAAGCGTTATGTGGATTGTCACAAGAAGTAGATAGGTGAGATCAAAGTTTTACAAATTAAATTTATGTTTAAATCCAATCTTTCTTGGTTTGATTTATAAATCCTTAACCCTTTCACAAATGATTTAACAGTTTCCTCCCACGGCTAAACTTTTTAAATAGATTTGAACCATGTGTTAGTCCCAAAATGACCTGATTTCTTACACTCTCATTTAGTGACATGACTAAACATTCACATTAAAATGACAAGACCTTTGAATTAGGTGAAAGAGATAATGTCGATTTAATTAAATGTTCCACTAATCTATAAAATATAGCCTTTCTCCGGGACTGGGACCTAAAGGGTTTAAACTTTATTTTAATTGATTCGAATCTTTCCTTGTAGTTTGTTTGAAGATGCTGCGAAGAAGTTAAATTTGGTAGCCTTGTTGAGTTTTCTCACAGAGTTGGGCGAGTCCAGTCGATTGCAGCTGCGTAAATTTAATTATTCTGACGAGTCTGGTACTGGTGTCGGTCGATTACCAACCAATGCACTTCACTTGTATCGACTACAAGAAGTTCTCATGAAGGTTGTCAATGGATCACGACCCTTGTTACATCTGATTAGAGTCTGGAGTGTCATATCTCCTTATTTGGTTGAGGTTAGTATATATCTCCTTATTTGGTTGAAGTTTGCATATGTATATATATACATCTCCTTATTTAGTTGAGGTTTGTATATATATATTATTTCCTTATTTGGTTGAGGTTTGAATATGTATATATATATGTCCTTATTTGGTTGAGGTTTTTATATATATTATTTCCTTATTTGGTTGAGGTTTGCATATCTTATTATTTAGTTGGGTTTCTATATATATATATACAGGACTGTATTTCCTTATTTGTATTGTTTTATTTGACGTAAAGGACAATACAAGATTTTGCCCTTTATTTACCTAAATAATTCACATTGTGACAATATTTGACTGCTCAGATTTTGTATGCAGGATTTTACTCTTTATTTACTTAAAGATTCACAATCCAACATCCATTGTGGATTGTTCTGAAGACTCACCATCTTTAGACATACATTTCTTTATTTTCTGGCAATCTATCTTTTATTTTACTAGAAGCACAAGTCTAATGTTCACAGGAGTTATTCATGCTAAACAAATAAATCTAGGGCAGTAAATAGTTCACATGTATAAAACCAGCTTTAAATCTAATCTAAAGACAAGTATCTTAATAAATAAGTGCACATGATGAGGAGTAATGAAACCTACATCAATCCCTAGCATTAGTCGAAGTTTGATACTGAATTTTCTGATTTAGTCATGAAGAGTGGTAATCAATTATTTATAGAAAAAAAACAAATAAATAAGTAATTAATGAATGTAATCTATTTATTTAGACCTCATTGTTGGCATGTTAACAGCTAAAGATGAGATCTAAAATGTAAATACATTATGATTTTATATTTCAGGCAACAGGACACCAAGATCGTAGTATAAGTAAAATGGCTGTTACCTGTGTACATGAGTTTATTGTTGCTATGTTGAGTAACCATGAAGAACTGCCTCACTATCATGTTAATGAGTTTCTGTGTAAGACGTTTGAAGATATGTTATGTTTAGAATTATGTGATGGAGATGTACAGGATCAGGTCAGTTTAAGATTAAATGATTAAATCGGTCAACACTAGCCTGGAGGTCGCGTGTTGATCCCTGCATTGGTTGCTAAAGTTGGTCAGGATTTTCCGACGTGGTCTAGTCGTCCGGATGGAATGAAAAACCGAGGTCCTGTGTATACATTGGCGTGCACGTAAAAGATCCCTTGGCAGTTGGAATTCGATATAAGAGTATGCCATAGTGCCGCTGCCCTGGCAAAATTTCCCTCATAGCACACTGTATGGCATATGCCCTTCTTCATTAACCCAGTATAGGAGCAGAACAGTAGGACGTTAAACCCCATTTCATTTTCATTCCATTGAATCAGCCAAAACTAGGATCAAACCCATGATCTCCTGGTTATTGGGCAAGCACCTTACTCATTCAACCACAGAGGTTCATCAATTAATATTGATATGTTGATAGTTGGCTTAGAAGATTTGTGCATGGTTGTAATATGTCCATTCCTAGACTGGCTGTCCAAATTCTTGTGCTAATGAATAATACAATTTATTCCAGTATTTGAATCAATCCGGCTGTTTTGATAGAGCAGGGTAAAGTTAATGTAGCACTATATATGACAGTAAATCTTGAACAGGTGCTCTTAATAATGTACGTATTTTGCTTAATGACTAATCCACGGCTGACGACACGAAATTCGATAAGAAATGTCTGTGAAAGAAACCTGAAAATAATCCCTGTATTGAAGTTTGCTATCAGGTAAATTGATACAGGTAAGATAGTGACGGGCTAGATGAACAATCTGTTTTATTGCAGAGTGTCGTCTGATTACGTATTTACTTTCAGATTGTATGTTCTATATGTGAGGAAGTTGAAGCTTGTACAGCACAGATACAATCAGGGTGGCGTCCCTTGTTTGGAGCTCTTCGATCTGTGAAGATAGAATATACAGCTAATGAGGCTGTGAATGAAGCGAGACAGAGACATATCGCAGCTGTGTTAGATGTATTTGATGTTTATCTGAGTACAGATAATATATTGGTGTACGCCAACGCTACAGTAGATTGTATTCTATGTCTTCTCAAATATGTACACGGACCAGGTGAGTTGTATACAGGGGTTAAGAGAAGGGGATACTCCGATCTCAAATGAAAAAAGATCATGTGGATTCTTCACAATCAGATTGTATCGTTGACCACGACGTTGCCTTATATTTAAACATTACGAGTTTTAAAGATCACATTAAATAAAAGGTAATTATATCCAGTCAACCAGTAGATTCGAATAGTAGAGGCCCGGTCCCACTGCACTTACGGATGCAAAGAGGATGTAAAACGGGGAAAAAACGTTTGAAAACGCCATGCATCCGTTGTGTACTCACTGCATACGTGTTTCATATGCTCTATCCATCGAGCATCCGTTCACTTTGGGATGTATGTATCTGGTATATTGAAGAATGTCGGAGCTGTCATCCACTTCCATCCGCTTTCATCCGCTAGGCTTCCGATGAACATCCATTTAACAACCCCGCTACATATTCCCCACATTCGTTCTTTTTTCGCAAATTTTTGTCAATTTTGTCCATTTCTGGAACGGATGAAAACGGATGGAGCCACCCCCGAAAGTTTGCTCGTCCGCTGTGTCCTTTTTGCATACGTTTTGTGTCCATCGGCAACTGGGACCAGGCCTTAAAGGCTGTTGGTGTGCTGTGATGTGCTGGAGACTGGAACTGGAGGCTCTCGGATGTGATAAATTTATCTGACACACTCTTTAATATCTATTGGTGAATATTTCCAAACTATCAGGAAATCTACTGGTGAGTGTGGCAATGGCTCACTAACCAGGCAGTCCTGGGTTCGCTCCCTGGGTTGGTTGAGATAGTTCCTTGGGTGGTTTCTCTTGTCAGTGGTGCAGAACTGAGGACCTGGCACGGAACTTGGTTTAGTCCTGTGCACACATTGCTGTCCACGTAAAAGATCCCTTGACAGTTGGAATGCCAAGTAGAGTAGGCAGGAATACTGGTGTCTGGGCAAATATCACTTATAGCATTCTGTATGACATATGCTCATCTTCTTTAGATGTTGGGGGGTTGAATGGCTGAATGGTTAGGTCTGCCATTGAGTCAGCTGGTGTGGTTTCGAATCCCCGGATTTATGTGGCAAGGTGTAGGGTCGCCTGTCCAACCTCGTGGGTTTTTCCGGGTATTCTGGTTTCCTCCCACTGCTAAAGAGCCCTACGCACAAGCGAATTATTGAAATAAAATTGAACAATGTGTTAGTCCCGAAATGACCTAGTTTGTGTTGAGTGGACGTTAAACCCCATTTCTCTCTCTCTCTCTCTCTCTCTCTCTCTCTCTCATTAGACGTTAAATCCCATTTCATTTCATTTGTATGATTTTAGGTATGTTTGAATATGGAAGTGATGATGAGTCTGATTCAGGAAGTGAAGTTTGTAACACGGCCATTAACAACGAGAACCTGTGTATACCAGCATTAAAATATCTGAAACGTTGCTGTGATATTCTCACATCCATGTGGAAGATGCCAGCTTGTCCACCATTTAAAGGGTCTCAGAGGTTAGTTTGTACCAGTCGTGTAGTTATTCTTCTCAAAGCAGAGATGTGGAAAGCAGCAGATGGTAGCAGTAAAATTGACTGTTTGTGTCTGGTGAATTTTCTGTTAATTGACTGTTTAATTCCCAGTAAAATTTCTTGGTTGTTCTGCTGATTTCTTGGCAAATTTGACTGTTTCTGCTGAATTCCTAGTTAATTTTACTGTTTCTGCTGAATTTTCAGCAAATTGGGGATTTTTGTTGAATTCATGGCAAATTCGTCTGTTTCTAATAAAATTCTAGCAAAATGGACTGGTTGCTTCTGTTAGATTCTCAGCAACATTGACTGATTCTGCTAATATTTTTTTGAGATTATTTGATATTTCCATAAAAGGCAAATGATTTTAAGTAGTTATCATGAAATGGACTTTGTCTGTTCCTCGAGATCCATTCTGATTTAGTTTTTGGAACGTTTCTCATATACCGTTCCAGTAACTTCATGACACTTTGCATATATCAAATCATTATAATAGCTGTGTCTTTTGTATTTAAGAAGGGGGTTGGATGGCCAAATGGTTAGCATGTGCGCGCTGCACACTGTATCATAAGGCCTGTCATTGAGTCAACTGGCGTGGTTTCGGATCCCCGGTTGTATGTGACAAGGAGTAGGGTCGCTTGTCCAACCTCGTGGGTTTTCTCCGGGTCCACTGGTTTCCTCCCACTGCTAAAAACCCCTACACGCAAGCAAATTATTGAAATAAAATTAAAAACCATGTTAGTCCCAAAATGACCTAATTTGTGTCGAGTGGACGTTAAACCCCCTCTCTCTCTTTCTCTTGTATTTAAGAAATTTCTCGGATTTAAAAAGGGAATCAAATTTAACTTACAAAGGTACTGGATGTTGATGTTTTGCTCTTGTTTTATTAGTGGTTGAAAATTGAAAAATTATTTTTATAATCCAATACCGTCTTTGTTCTTTTCAGAATTCAGCTTGGTTCTTCTGTTCGCCTCGTTGATCCCAATATTCCAAATATGAATTTTGAATCCTTTGCCAAACATTTCAATCCGAACTCATCAGATCTTGAGATCTCTCCAGACAAGGATCCTGATTGGGTAGTTGTACCTACAGACATTCAACCTGATGCCAAAAGTAGCCAATCAATAGACTCAGGAGTAATAGACGCTAGCCAATCAGAAACATCCCTACAGAATGCAACTGTTGCCGAGAATGAATGGATATCTGTTCCGTTAGATGAATTAGACAATCCGTCTGGTATTCTTCATGTATGGTTTTTGTTACTGGATGGTTTGGCTACATCAATATCGTCATGTCCGAAAACCTTCCAACCGCAGACATTAGAAATGTTATTTGAGTTGTTGAAATCTGCAGGCGACACCCCAGGTAATATTATTAAAGAAATAAAATTGTACCATATGTTAGTCCCTAAATGACCTAGTTTGTGTTGAGTACAAATTAAGCCCCATTTGTGTTGCAACTCTGAGTCACAGTGGCTAAGTGAGTGAGATGTTGGCTCGATCCTTGCATTGGCCAAGTAAGTTCATCAAGATTTTCCAGCATGGTTCCCCTTGTCAGTAGTGCAGGAGAGAGGGCCTAGCAAGGGACAATGTATAGTCGTCTGGATGGGTGTGCACATAAAAGATCCCTTGGCAGTTGGAATTGGATATAAGAGTAGGCTGTAGCGCCACTGTCCAGGCAAAGTATCTTTCATAGCACACTGTATGGCGTATGCCCGTCTTCATTAGCCCAGTCGGAGAAGAACAGTAGGATGTTAAACCCCTTTCCATTTCTCTCATGAATCTATATTTTATTTTTTTTAATTTTTTTCAGGTCCAAGTTTTGCAATACATTGTGTGAATCATCTTGTTCTTCCAATGCTGCAGTCATGGTTACGTCGTGGTTCACGTATCCAAGGTCACTGGGAGGCCGGTGCTGTTAATTTTAAACAGTGTTTAGGTCATACATCAGATCTGGTTGTAGATTATCTAAATAAATTTGTAGGTTCGTAAAATATTATAAAAAATAAATAAGCGTACAGTTAAGGTATTCACATGTTGATAAACGGAACACAATTACTATTTATTACTGAGCAATGTTTTCACCAGGAAATCAAGCAATATTGTTAACTAATGCAGATGTTCTAGAACAACAGGGGGGTTGGATGGCCGAATGGTTAGCACGTGCGCGCTGTATCACAAGGCCTGTCATTGAGTCAACTGACGTGGTTTCGATTCCCCGGTTGTACGTGAAAAGGAGTAGGGTCGCCTGTCCCACCACGTGGGTTTTCTCCGGGTCCTTCGGTTTCCTACGCGCAAGCGAATTATTGAAATAAAATTTAACAATATGTTAGTCCCGAAATGACCTAGTTTATGTCGAGTGCACGTTAAACCCCATTTCTCTCTCTTTCTCTAGAACAACAGTGTGGTTTCCAGTGAGCTTCATCAAGTCGTGAATGGCTGGTTCATGTGATGAATGGCAGAGAAATAGCGCTTGAAAGCTCATTTGACAAAATGGTCCGCTTGCTAGGCACCGGTCCAAAATCAAAACTTTGCTTCTGTTAATGCTTTCGGAATGTTCTCAAGAATGTCCTTGTCAAGTTTGATCAAGCTGTTTGCAATAAGACATCAAAAGCAATGTCCACAAGAGAAAAAGAGAAGAGTCAACAGTACCCTACGCAATCAGTGATTCAACCCTGATGTTAAGGTGCCATGCATGATGCTTTAAAAACAAAAACGAAAGTAGTAAAATGATGGAAAACACATGTTCATTAACCAATAATAACTGTATTCGTAGGTGATGCCAATAATCATAATATGTTAGAGTTTATGATGAAACAGATGTTAGATGTGTTAACAGAGTGTGTAGCTCAACCTGTAGAAAATATCTCTAGATTAGGTTGTTCTTGTATCAGGTATGTTCTAAATAATAATTCTGGTCATTATAGGGGGGTTGGATGGCCGAATGGTTAGCGCTTACGCACAGCATCATAAGATCTGTCATTGAGTCAACTGGCATGGTTGTACGTGACAAGGGATAGGGTCGTCTGTCCAACATTGGGGGTTTTCTCTGGGTGCTCCGGTTTCCTACCATTGCTAAAGACCCCTACGTGCAAGCAAATATTATTAAAATAAAATTTAACCATATGATAATCCTATGTGCAAGCAAATAATTAAAATGAAATTGAACCAGATGTTAATCTTGAAATGACCTAGTTTGTGTCGAGTGGACGTTAAACCCCATTTCTCTCTAGCTCTCGCTGGTCATTATTGTATCCACCATCTTGAATTTCTGGCATATTGGATGATCAAAAAGGTTATTTAAGTTCCAATTCAGACATGGCAGCATCCAAAACATATAACATAATAATATTGCCCGCCATATATACGATATAAGCTTGTAGCTTAGACAAATAGGGCCAATGGGCCTTATTTGTTGCTATAGGGTAGGAACTTGCCCCAAATTTTTGTTGTTGTTATATAATTAGTATAGTATGCCTCATATTTCCAGGGAATCCTCCTTCTTTTTTGAAAGTAAAATTATCAACCACCCCTTATTACATGTACATGGGACCTCATTTTTTTGTCCCATCCAAACAACTAGATACTATTACTTGTCTGGCCCACCATCTAACACCACTGTCATTTGATCAAGAAATAACCAAATGGTAAAGAGAAATGGCTTTATTAAATTTATATTGATCCTGTTTCTAGACTGTATTTAATATAAAAACACAAATTTATATGAAAAACAATCACTGATTTTATTTCACCCTATGTTTCAACAAGTTCCTCTTGTCGTTCTCAAGTAAGTAAGTAGACTGTATTTGTTATGTGTTTATATTTTACAGACATGTTTTATCGAGTGCCGGACCACTGTTGACCGAACCTATGTGGCAGATTAGTGCCGAGACGTTGCAGAGAACTCTAAACGTTACGACCTACAGTGCTAGACAGTTGATGACTCTGTTTCACGCCAACTCAGAGAATTTTTACGGGGATATCGGCCAGGTGAAAGTTGCTACAAGAAAAGACTGTACTGCCATAGAATGCATTAGATTAAAACAGCTGGCACATCAGGTATATTTAAATAAAATCAGATTCAGTTTGGTAACTCAATCGAATGGGAACCTCTAGCATCTGGTTATTCCAATCTACACCGATAGTATTTATTGCACATGCTCTCAAGATAAGAATATTATGTCACCGTTTGACATGACTTGTGGAATATGTTTGGCCTCATTCTTCGAGTCCCTTTGTTACAAACTTTTTTGAAACGCATTATGGTACACGATTCATGTACCAATGGTAAGATGTTTATTTTGTCTTAAATGTTGGATATCAGAAGCCCATCTTTTCCCAGTAAGATCACAACACTAATGTTGATTTAAATTGACAAAAAATAAATCTATTTCATACACAGGGTGCAGAAGTTTTGAGCCATTTTGTTAAAGGGTTCATGTAATTTATATGATTGTATAATTATAGGTATGAGAGTCAGGTATCTAGCTAGTTTAACACCTGTATGATTGTATTATTCCAGGTATTCTTATTAGAGAGTCAGGTATCCAGTATGACACCTGTCAAATTTAACATGGATGAAGATAAATCATTTATACTTTTACTTTATCCACCCAATCATGAAGATAGTCTAAATCCAGATCATATAATGACCAGGTTTGTTTACTTTTCTTTTTTTTTTTTTGGAGCATATGTAACACTATCTTAGTGATAACAGAGATCAGTTTAGTAAATATAATATTTATTTACATCGGAACAGAATATCAAACAGTTACAAAGATACAACTTGAACTAAACTACATCGGAAACTAGACTAAGACAGGAACACATATAACAATATTAAATCCACTATTCCGCCCCTCTGCCAAGGCAGCGGCTGAACTAAGGTGAGTCCATACACAGGTCTCTCCTTTTGTCTTGTCCTCTCCGATCGTCTCCCTAACTTTCAGCAAACTCCTCGGTATATACCTTTGGACAATAGATAGAACTCATGATCATACATGCAATTGTTTCTTTTATCTTGTCATGGTATATTTACTGACCAATGCGTATTTCTTTGAAGTCATGCGGAGCGTGTGCACAGATCATATGTAGTTTGTAAATGACATATGGGATTAATTACATGTTTAATTAGAACGTTACTAAACAGAAGTATATACAGAGTTGAAAAGTCAATATCATATATTATCAACAGCAATAAGTGATTGTCCAATTTGATGAAAGTTATAGAGTACTTTGTTACACATGTCCATCTTTATTAGTTGGTGCAGTAAAGTAAGGTGTTAAGACTCCATCAGGTGTTCTAGAAAGGATAAGATGTGGCATACTCTGGTTGTGCATGACATATGTTCTTTCACAAGAGTGTCTCAGGGAAGTGGACATTGGTTCGCTAACCTGGAGGTCCCATGTTTGATCCCTGCGTTGGTTGAGAAGGTTCGTCACCATTTTACAGCGTGGTCCTCCCTTATCAGTGGTGTAGGACAGAGAGCCTGGTAAGGGACAACATATAGTTGTTCAGATGGGACGAAAAACCCAGGTTCCTTGTACACATCAGCGTGACAGTTGGAATTCGAAATAAGAGTAGGCCATAGCGCTTCTGTCTGGGCATTATGCCCTCATAGCGCACTGCATGGCATATGCCCCTCTTCATTACCCAAATAGGATCTTACACAAGAAGATTCTGTCATCAACATCCCACACCCTTCTATACCAAAATCTACATTGTTGCCATGAAAACACAGAAATTACTAAATACAAGAAATGTCTAATAGTTTGATACTTTTAATTAGCAAAAGGCATAACTATTATTATAGGTTGATGTATGTGCAAAGTTTGTTAAAGATATCTTAAAAGTTTTATGAGATATGCTTCTGAAACAAAGCCGGGATGGATCGATGGAGCCCATTTCAATATCCCTCCTTTCAAATATTTTGTCGTGGGATAACAAAGTGATGGGCCGGATGTGGATTTTAAAAGCCAAAGCTACATACCTGGTTGAGATTAATGCCATTCCCTTATATATTGGACATGCTTTGAAAATGATGATTTAAAATGATTGTATTAAATTATATTTATTGAGTGCCATTCCGTAATATATTGGACAGGCTTTAAAAATAAAAACTTGAAATGATTGTATTAAATTATATTTGTAGAGTGCCGTTCCGTAATATAGTAGTTGGTTTATTATCACATCAGCTGTTGTTACAGACAGTGGGTTATCTTCTCTTAGATGGTGCTGAGATTAAAACAGATCCACTACCAGATTTTATACCAGAACACATAGAAACCAAATTACCAGGTAGCGACATTTATCATCTCCTAGTCAACCATCTCAATGTGTGCAGTTTTCTCTTGTCAGTTGGTGAAGGAGGCAGGGCCTGACAAGGACAGCTTTCTAGTCGTTCGGATGGTACGAAAAACCGAGGTCCCGTGTACACATTGGTGTGCACGTAAAAGATCCCTTGACAGTTGGAATCCGATATAAAAGAAGGCCGTAGTGCCGCTGTCAGGGCAAAATTTCCCCTCATAGCACACTGTATGGCGTATGCCCATCTTCATTAGCCCAGTTTGGAGCCAAACAGTAGGACTTTAAACTCCATTTCATTTCTTATTTCATTTCATTTCTGTATTTCTGATGTAAAATGTTCTTCTGTGTTTCAGGTCTGATGCCCTACATGTCAACAAGAAATGCCTTGACCTTTTTAGAATGTCTTCAATCGGCCTATTCCTTAGCTTGTGAATTCGACGCTAGACCAGGTCTAAAATTTCTCGTACAGAAAGTCGCAGGTTTAGATGTCGCTGCAAATCTTTACAAACAAGCCGGAGCTAGTATTGTCTATTATGTTCATTCATTGGTGGAAATATGTGCTCATTCAAATAAATTATCTCTGGAGACTACGCAAAATATCTTGGAGACGTTGACATTCTCAGAAAGAGACACGGGAATTATCTCGGATTTGCTTCCAGAGTGGAGAAATTCTAAATTAGGACTTTTAACCAATCCTGATGTGTTTCCATATTTACTGCTGAACGCATGTGATGAGTTATGTCAGACGTATGTGGATATTTTAGTAGATAAAGAAGGAACAGCAAGGTTTGATCGAATGGAAGAACAGCCGCTGTTCTTTCTAATTGCCCAACCTGATGATATGGCTGAAGTGACAGCGAAGAAAACAAAGAGGACGGATTCTATGAAATCTGATAGAGGTGCGAAGAGTTTTATATCTCAGGCGGTAACCGTAGATACTCAAGAAGGTTAGTTTCAAATTTACTTTATTTGAAGACCCACAAAATGAAATGGGGTTTAACACCCTACTGTTCTTTTCTGACTGGGCTAATGAAGCCATACAGTGTGTTATTAGGGAAATTTTGCCCAGACAGCGGCACTACGGCCTACTCTAATATATCAAATTCCAACTACCGTAAAATCCTGATAAACTTTCTTGACCAAAACCGGGAGCAAACCTGCGGCATCCAATCTAATGAGCCATCGTCTAACTCCTTTAGCCACCATGGCTTCCATTTAAGATGCAATATTCAAGTCTTAAATGTCAGTGGTACAATACCCTATGTCTAGTCTTTAGGATGGGAAAAAAAACCCAACAAGATCCTGTGTATACAGCATGCCCATAAAAGAACCATTAACAGTTGGTATTCGGTGAAGAGCGGGCAGAAATTTTCAATTCATTATATAATAAATTAAAGAATCCCCGCTGAACAGTAGCACAACAGACTTAGTAGAAGTGACGATTTTTTAATAATATAACGTTTCGGGTTTAGCTTTAGTCACCCTGCTCAGGGAGTGTTGCCGTCTCTCTTCTCGTATCCAATTCATTATATACTTGTGAATACTAAAGGAAATTGAATTATTTTTGGACTGTTATTCTTTTTAGACGTCCAATTCTCATGATATTGTAGTTTGCAAGGGATACAAAGTCACTCAAATGATAATCAGTATTGTTGGTTTTGGTGTTTAAGATCTGCTTCCACCAAGGGTGATACAGGGTCGTAACTACCTCAGAGCAACGAGTGGGGCGGGAAGTGTTCTCAGGGGTGCTGTAAAATTGACAGACACTGTATATCTAGGGGGTTTTATGGTCGACAATTTTTTCACAGGCCCCCCCCCCCCCCCTCAGTTACGGGCCTGGGGTGATATCGCAGACAATTTGTCTTTTTATTATAATACTATTATCTTAGCACACACGGAGGGGTCTTTCTTGTAGGAGGAAATCAGAGTCATAAGGTTGAGAAGGCGCCCCTGTCTGCAAGTCACATTTTAGCGCATGAAGAATCGAAACCACAACCAAAAGAAAGAGGTGGACGGCCAGCTAGCGCTCGAAGCGCGACACTCTAGACCACTGGGCTATCCCAACCCTCTTGACAATCAGTGACTTAAACTAACTTATATACTGTCTAATTGTAGAAACATCTAGTTACCGTGCCAACAGCCAGGAAGGACAAAGTGAATCTGAAGAAGAAGAAATATTGAATGAGACAGATCAGGCAAAGAGCAAGCGTGAAATAAGAGAAGAAAGCGAAAGTAAAGTTTATACGGTTGCTACGGATAAAACCATTAAATCATTGATGGCAAAATACAAGCAACGTAAACAACAAAATTCCATGCCGTCATTCGTTCGTTTGGTTCAAAGAATGAAGGAAGTGTCACATAAGGAAAAGATTCCGAGACGAGAAGTTGTGGACGAGAAAATCGAAAAACAACAGCAGACGTCAATAATGAAGGTAGGCAGACAATCTGATTAAAATACAGATCTGACTTTCTTTTTGACACCTCAACTGGTTTCATGCATTTGGTTATCTTGTTGCTGTTTTGTTCTTGGGGTGATGTTCTTCAAAGCAGCCTAAAATTCATCCTCAGTATCCCCAGTGGTCTCAATCCGTTCCATTCCACTAACCCTTTGTTGATTGTGCTATTTTTATCAACCAATCCAAAAAATCGTTAAATACATAAAAATGAAATGAAATGGGGTTTAACATCCTACTGTTCTGCTCTGACTGGGCTAATGAAGACGGGCATATGCCATACAGTGTGCTATGAGGGAAATTTTGCCCAGACAGCAGCATTACGGCCTTCTCTTACATCGAATTCTAACTGTCAAGGGATCTTTTACGTGCACGCCAATGTATACATGGGACCTCGGTTTTTCGTCCCATCCGAATGACTAGACAGCTGTCCTTGTCAGACCCTCCATCCTGCATCACTGACAAGGGGGGTAACCTTTCTCAGCTAATGCAGGGATCAAACTCCCGACCTCCAAGCTAGCGAGCCAGTGTCTTACCCACTTAGCCACCGTGACCCCCAAATACATAAAAACATCTTTCCCATTAAAAAAAACATGTCACTTCTTTTTATTAATTTATTTGCAAACTTTCTCATAATCGAGCAAATAAGCCACCATATTGTTGTGAACGTAAACAATGAGGCTAAGACTGGTTTGTATAATGTTTTTATATTGGTTGAATATATGAATACCCCAGGGATACCGAAAGGATGCCTAACTTGGCATTCTAGGTTCTTTGGATAATTCTGCATAGATTTATAGAGTTTGATTTTTGATAAGACGTCACAATTCCATGATGGCTGGGATGAATTCATAGACTATAATTAACGGTTCTTTGTTCAATGTTTGATTGTATTTATTTTACCTTTTGATGGTGTAGGTGGAAACTCAAGAAAATCCTTGAGGTTAAAAAAGAGACTATACCCTTTGTCAAGTTCAAATCTGTGATCGAATCCATTATTTACTGAGATAATTTCAGACTATCATATTGTATATTTTTATTTCGTAAGTCCCTAGATTTTAGCATTTTTATGTACAAGCCATATTTGGATGTATAACAAATCATTATTTTATCTCCTGACCTAATTCCTCTCAAGTTAAGGCCTGCATTCGATAAACAAGACAATCTAAAGCCCACACATAATACAATTCAACCACCTTACCCACCCCCAAGTTAAAAGCCCTTACAATATCTGTTTATGTATTAACTGAGTTAATTGTATTCATCTCCAAAATTATAAACATGAAATATGTTTTTTTTAGGATAGCGAGGCTCACCTTCGATCCTGGTCAGAGATGCTGATCCAGATTCTACAACTATTTCTCCAGATGGATCAACATCGTTTTAAATCTCTGATTCCTGTAACATTTAACAGTAATAACCAGCTAGTCTGTCACTCAGATGATCCAAAACTCAAAAAAACCCTAGCTGCTTGGTTCCATCGGCTCGGTCATCTGTATCACCTAGCTCCTACAAAACGATTAGTCAAATCAGAGGAAGACATGCCCACAACTGTTAACCAATCACAGACAGAGACCGACAGCTCAATTGATCAATTAGAACCAAAGAATGACAGTGCGACTGATATCAGCCAATGAGAATAAAGTGTGAAAGTTTGATAATTGACCAATTGAAATGATGTATGAGAGGTTGATAATTGACCAATGAGATTATAGCTAGGCCAAACCGTAATCAATGGTTAGCCAATCAATAAGCTGAGGTATTCAACAGGGTGTCATTCAGTTTAGATTCGATAAGATAGGTTATGAAACTGTATTGAATTTATGAAATTATATTTTAAAGGTGTAAAGATATATTTTTCTTAAACTGTACAGGCTATAATAAAAAGGTCTTTTAGATTTCTCTTAGATTTTCTAAAAGTAGACCAAAAGTCTTTTAGATTTTCTAAAAGTAGACCAAAAGTCTTTTAGATTTTCTAAAAATAGACCAAAAGTCTTTTAGATTTTCTAAAAGTAGACCGAAAGTCTTTTAGATTTTCTAAAAGTACACCAAAAGTCTTTTAGAATATCTAAAAGTAGACCAAAAGTCTTTTAGATTTTCTTAGACCACATTTAGTTTTGTTTTATTTCAAGCGATGAAATAAATATATTTTAAATTCTTTTAGATTGTGTAAATCATTAGCTAATTAACATTAGGTTACAGTTTTGTTTCATTTATTTTGTTAGATTGTTATACTACATTGTACACTACAAAACAAGGTATTTTAAATTGACTAAAATTAAATCACAATTTCTTATTCTTTCATATCAAGCAATTATAAAATATGATCTCTTTTAGCTAAAAGACATTTTGTTTTATTCCAAGTTATAAAAAATATATGATGTAAGTTCTTTTAGATGGTCTAAAATCAGACCACAATTTTGTTTTGTTTCATTTTAAGCGATAAAATCATATTTGTTATTTATTTTTAGACGTGCATGGCGACACAGTTTCAATTTGAAATATGCTAGAATTTCTTAAAATGTTATGCAAGAGAAATTCTATAATTTATTTTTAAGTTAGTGAATTTATTTTGACAATGTGAAATAATAATTATTTATCTACGCAATATGTATGGACAAATTTTGTTTGGGTATTTTTTCTTGGGCATTATCATGAACAATGATGAAATGTTAACCCTTTTAGCACTTGGATGGACCCCACAAAACTACTGAAGTTGCATCAATAGCTGTGACACTCGCAAGAACTAGTATTACAAGCCTACAACACAGTTTAATGGTTTAACAATCTGATTAAAATACAGATCTATATTTCGTTTTGTGTTTTATACTTTCGATAGCCTTCACTACTTGAAGATCTGACCACCTGTACCGGGAGGTCATACAAGTGGCTTTTGACCCAATGACATCAGACATTTGATTAACCAATTAGCATTGATGTGTATAGTGGATTACCCACAGTTCGATGCACCACACGCCAAAAGCTCGCCAAACAGACCATTTTATTGGCTAGTCCCTCACATCATCCAGAACACGTCAATGATAACAACTCTTCCAGATCCGAGTGTAGTAAAGACAAGTAAAACGAAATTTTGAACTACAAAAAATGAAACGAAATAGGATCTGTGTTTTAATCAAATTGGTCGTTTAATGGCTTGCAGTGGAAATCATAAGGTCTAACATTGAATCCAGTGAAAATAATTCTATTAATAATTAAACTGAAATTAAATAGAATATTTTGTTACAGTTATGTTGTGTAAACTGGGAAATGGTCACGGGCAAGTAGTAAGAAAGAATGATGTTTTTTGTTTGGTTGTGGGCAGTTTAAAGCCTTGCACAATTTGTTTTTAGCTGTCTGCCAAGGAAGAAGTGGTTTCTTTTATTAATATATACTCCTATTTGAAATAATTTATTGAATTAATAATTCCAGTTAAAAGTTATAAGTATTATTTTATGTGCAATATTATTATTTGTTAATTGTTGAAATATTTATATACCATTCCTGAAGAGTCCCCTAGTATTACTGGTTATTTATTTTTATGTTTTTTTGTACTTCTTTTATTGTCATGTGATAATTATCATGTGATTTCTATATATGGTCATGATAATGATATAAAATACCCTTACTCTCCTATGATTTTATGAACTTTTTGTTAGGCAAGGGAATGTACTACCTTGTACATTCAAAGATCTGTACTGTACATTCAGAGGTCTGTACTCTGTTCATTTAAAGAGTATTTCTCTAACTCACCAAGTAATGCATTCCATATTTCATTTTCATTAACTCTGATTTTCATTTTTATTTTATTTTTTTTTATCAGAGCTTGTTTTTTCCCAACCATGACACTGTCTATTTGTTGATGAAATATTTTCACCAATAAAACTGGACTGGACTTTTTCTAGTTACAGTTATACCAACAGTTTGTTTCAATGTTTTGTTTTTTGATTGTTTACACTTCTTCATCTAGACCAACAAGGTACATAATCGAAAGATCCCATAATTATATATTGTATACTTAGATTATGTAAATATTGATTGAATAAATATTGTTAGAAATAAAAATCTATCAACACAGAAAATTCCGCAAAATCAATAATGCTTTATCCAGACCGCCTGAAAATACATTGATGTCATTTTGTGACAATCATGTCTATGCAAAATAGAGGACACTTTCTAAAAATAAAGTTATGCTTGGAAGTTCAGTTATTAATATTTTCTTTACCATTCTTCATTTCCTTCATTTCCTTCACTAGACTAGTTTGTTCTAGGACACAAAATAATTAGAATGGTCTGGGTTAGGACACGAAATTATTAAGGTTGGTCTGAGCTAGGTCTAGAAATTAATTAGCCTGGTTTGGACTAGGACTAGAACTTAATTGTCCCCCGCCTTTCGAAGAAAGCAGGGGACTATTAAAATGGGTTCGTCCGTCTGTCTGTCCGTCCGTCTGTCCGTCCGTCTGTCTGTCCGTCACACTTTTTGGGACACAATAACTCTCTTCCTAATTGAGCTAGAATGTTCAAACTTGGTGTATGTGTTTATTAGGTCAATGCCTTGATGGAGTTCGAAGATGAGCATTTTCCGCTTAGGGTAAGCAGAGATAAGCAATTTGATTGGTTGATGCTTTGGGACATGATAACTCTCTTCCTAATTGGGCTAGAATGTTCAAACTTGGTGTATGTGTTGATTAGGTCAATGCCTTGATGGAGTTCGAAGATGAGCATTTTCCGCTTAGGGTAAGCAGAGATAAGCAATTTGATTGGTTGATGCTTTGGGACACGATAACTTTTAATTGAGCTAGAATGTTCAAACTTGGTGTATGTGTTTATTAGGTCAATGCCTTGATGGAGTTCGAAGATGAGCATTTTCCGCTTAGGGTAAGCAGAGATAAGCAATTTGATTGGTTGATACTTTGGGGCACGATAACTCTCTTCCTAATTGAGCTAGAATGTTCAAACTTGGTGTATGTGTTGATTAGGTCAATGCCTTGATGGAGTTCGAAGATGAGCATTTTCCGCTTAGGGTAAGCAGAGATAAGCAATTTGATTGGTTGATGCTTTGGGACACGATAACTTTAGTTCTAATTAAGTGAGATTGATGAAACTTGGTGTATAGATTTATTATATGAATACCTTAACTAAGTTCGATAATGAACATTTTTTGCTGAGGGTAAGCAGAGTGATAAGCAATTTGATTGGTAGAAACTTTGGAACACAATAACTCTCCTTCTAATTGAGGTAGAATGTTCAAACTTGGCATAGGTGTCTATTAGGTGAATGTTTAAACTTGATGTATATGTAGATGTTCATTAGGTGAATGTCTTGACTGAGTTCAATAATTAACATTTCGAGCTGAAGCTAAGCAGAGCTAATCGATTTCATTTGTCGATGGTTTGGGACAAGATAATCTTGATTCTATCTGATAGAGAGTGATGAAACTTAGTGAAAAAAATAAATGTGCGATTAATTAATATGTGTCATCTATTTATTTTGCAATTTCGGCGGGGGACATCAGCCTCACTGTTGGCTTGTTTATGTTTGTTTTGGCGAAGACTAGAAAATAATTAGGTTGGTTTGGGCTAGGACTAGAAAATAATTAGGTTGGTTTAGGCTAGAACTAAAAATTAATTAGGTTGGTCTGGGCTAGGTCTAAAAATTAACTAGGTTGGTCTGGGCTAGGTCTAGAAAATAATTAGGTTGGTTCGGGCTAGGACTAGAAAATAATTAGGTTGGTTTAGGCTAGGCCTAAAAATTAATTAGGTTGGTCTGGGCTAGGTCTAAAAATTAATTAGGTTGGTCTGGGCTGGGCCTAAAAATAATTAGCCTGGTCTGGGCTATGACTAGAACTTAATTTATATTTGTCTTGGTTAAGACACGAAAATAATTATGTTGGTTGGGCTAGGTCTAGATATTTATTAGGTCGGTCTGGGATAGGACAAGAACTTAATTAATTTGGTCTGGACAAGAACTTAATTAATTTGGTCTGGGCTAGAAATTAAGTTTGTCTGGGCTAGGACTAGTACTTAATTAAGTTTGTCTGAGCTAAGACTAGAATATAATTAGGTTGGTCTGGACTAGGACTAGAACTTAATTAATTTGATCTGGGCTAGAACTTATTTAAGTTTGTCTGGTTAAAGAATACAACATAATAAGGTTGGTCTGGCCTAGGTCTAGTACTTAATTAAGTTTGTCTGGGTTAAAACTACAACATAATAAGGTTGGTCTGGCCTAGGACTAGAACTTAATTAATTTGGTCTGGGCTAAGACTAGAATATAATTAAATTGGTCTTGTCCAAGACTAGAAAGTAACAGTTAATATTTGAAGTTCTGTTTGTGTTCAAGTTAGTTGTTATTGTATTATAACATATACATTTCTTACTGCCAAATATACATGTTACGGTTCAAATAAATTTTATCGTTTTTATTTTTACTTTTTATGCAGTTTTTGCAGTCATCTGGCATTTATTACCTGAACTCATACCCTTACATTTCCCGTTTTATGTTTCCTCAAATCTCTCCCACATTTTCTATCTTTCTGGTTTGGTTATACTCAATGAAAATCAAGCATTTGACTCCATAGCAACCAAACCCCTGAGTGGCATTTCAAATATGTTCAACTTTGTAACATTAAATAATTGATGTGTTATTGATCCGATGCATTTAAAATAATTGATGTAAGTTTATGTAATGTATTAATATTATTGTACTGTATTATTATTATACAGTTCCAGCTGTATTTATTTATATTTGTTATATGGATGTGGATCTCTATATTAAATATATCTTCTGTTAAAAATATTGCTTCGTTGCTTTTCATATAAAGGATGGGGATGCGGTAGTCTAGGACTCTTAAAGGAACTAAATCGCTAACATTTGGGACCTAGAAATTGACACAAGTGGGTCGCAACTCATATAATACTGTAATATGAATGTATATAAACTGATATATATTCAATGGTTTCCGTTTTTACTCTAATTTCAAATCAGTTATGTTCCGCGAAATAAGCCCGGAGTCTCAATCGAATGCAAATTTCTAGCGCCTGGTTATTCCAGTCTACATACGCCGTTTGGTTTGGTGCAATATGTCTAGCCTCGTTCCTCGAGTCTCTTGCTAGAACTGGGGCTGAAACGCATTATGGTACACGATTCGTGTACCAATGGCAAAATGTTTATTTTGTCTTAAATATTAGATATCAGAAGCCCATCTTTTCCCGGTAAGATCACAGCATCAATGTTGATTTAAATTGACAAATAATTTGTGTTTTCAATGTTGAAGATTTTGGATGATATTGAGTTAGAGACTTAGCTACTTTAAGACTAGAATGTCTCCTGTTTGAAATGAGGCCTGGGCCAAGAAGAATCTCATGTTATTTCAAGCTCAATTCCTACCTAAAATGTTGCTTTGTCAGATGAGATGGGATTGGATTAAATGTCTCCTGTTCGAATTGAGGCGTGGGCCAAGAACAATCTCGTGTTATTTCAAGCCCAATTCCTACTAGAAGTGCTGCCTTGTCAGATGGGATGGGATTGGATTCAATGGGATTGCCAGCAGTTGTAATTCGAATAGGAGAAGGCAGAAAATCAGCTATCCGAGCACAATTTACGGTCAGATCAATATATTAAGGCCACCTGCCGCGTTCGTCAAGGTTAGAGGGTTAGGGCACGTGATTGTTGCCGAAGATTGTAGGTTTGGGCAAGGGCTAGATCTGTAGTTAGGGTTATCGCTATCTCTGTTAACATCTCGTTACCATGACGAAATCTGCAGGTAACCATAATATTTAGATCTAACACAGCCCTTTACAAAAAAATATTGTAACAAACCGCCGTAAGAATGTTAATTTTGTTTATTCTAAATATTTCATAAAGGTCTCAGAGTATCGGCTGCCAGCAAGGTTCGTATTTTAAACAGGGCCGGGTTAAGCTTTGTCTGCGATATCACCTCGGTGGAAGCGGACGTAAAATAAAACTAACTAACAACAAGCTTGTATGGGGTTCCTGGCTGAAGATTTCACCGGGGCCCTTGGATCAACAGTCATTGTCCGTCGCACCTACTATAGGTATTAGGTACACTATTCTGGGGGCCTGTCGGCCTGGCTGTAGCCCAGCCACCCCCTCTTCCCTCCCACCTAATCTGGCTCTGACTTTAGCTGATCGGACATCTTATTAATGAATTATTGGGAATTTCACATTTTAACAACGGCAGCATATAAATTAACAAGATTTTAGAATAAATATAATTCAAGTCTCGGATCCTCCTTTGAGGGATTGTACATAGCATGCAAACCACAATATTGTGAACGATGAATCTCTAACTAGGAATATCAGTTTATATGGTTCAATTCCATTCACTAGTTACAAAGATACGATGAATTGAAAATTTGCCGGGATTCGAATCCTTTGAAGACAATATGAACGGGATATGATCACCTATATAATCTTACCTAAAATGGTACTCCTCATAATCCCATGGAATTCAAGTCGGGATATTATCTACTATTGAGATTTGATTTTGTGTTTTAATTAAATATCAAATAATCAATCTGGATTAGAGTGGATTAATTGCTAAAATTAGACGTACAAAAGTTTAAATATATGTATACAAATGTAAATGACTACCAGAAGATTTAAATATTTATACAAATAAAAAGGAATGATACAATCACAGATTAATATTTTAATATATTTTATGTACAAATTTATCACAGATATGTTGCTATATGAGCTAAAATTGTGGATGGTTGAAATATTTCCTAAACAGCGTTTTCATGTTTGCTGTTGTATTACTGAAAACTCTACAATCTTCAATCAGTTACGTTTTAAGCCACGAACAAAGGCCTTTACAAGTCCGACGCATGGTAGTCGAGTCTATTATCTTCATTATAGATCGACCAAAATTTATAAGATTATTTTCACTATGGACCGGTTTCAATGTATAAGATCGTTCTCACTATAGATCGGCCTCAACTTCTAAGATCGTTCTCACTATAGATCGGCCTCAATTTCTAAGATCGTTCTCACTATAGATCGGCCTCAATTTCTAAGATCGTTCTCACTATAGATCGGCCCTCAATTTCTAAGATCGTTCTCACTATAGATCGGCCCTCAATTTCTAAGATCGTTCTCACTATAAATCGGCCCTCAATTTCTAAGATTATTTTCACAAAAGACTGATCTTAAGGAATGTTTTCACTACAGATCAACCACAATTTATATAAGATCGTTCTCGTTACGGCCTTAATTTATACCATTATTTTCACTATAGTTCGGCCTCAATACTGAAGATTATTTTCACTCTTATAAAGATTATTTTCAATATAAATTGGAATATACAGGTCACAATTCTTCTGCTTATTACTGAGAAGCCTAGTCGAAACGTTGCTTGATAACGACTAGAGAGGCCTAGTTGAAACGTTGCTTGATAACGACTAGAGAGGCCTAGTTGAAACGTTGCTCAGAAATAAGCAGATGTATTCCACAGAATTGTGACCTGTATATTTTCAATATATATTCTTCAAAAAAAAAGTAGGGGATATTCAGAAACAATACAAACCTGCCGAAATGCACTGCTGTTTTTATTAGAGGTAACCAGTGAATGTTGATAACAGGCCAATTTAATTGCCTACACATGAACATAAACAGTTCATATGGGCGGCTTATCTGGCGGCCCCATTACACTCGCAAAGAGATACACTGTCAAAAGTGAAAATGGACGTTTTTGATTTTTGTCTTAATAATGAGTAATTGCTCCATCAATCCTCAGACATTCAGCAATTCGTCGTGGCATGCTCCTAATCAACCATCCAATCACGATTGGGGGCAATCTGACCCACTCCTCTTACAGTGCCAAGGCCAATTCTTGCAGTGTTGTTGGTTGACGTTGACGAATACGTCTCCCGATCAAATTAAAAGTAACACACTGAAGCAAAGATACGCTAAACAGTAAATCTTATGCAAGAACCGATAGGAAAGCAAACATGGATAAAATAAACCAGCAAGCGGCAGTTTTCATCAACCCTTCCTTGAAGTGTCAAATTTGACAATGAACCCCTCCCACGTGTATGGCGCTATTGCGTGTCGCACATGCAGCTCAGTGGTTCTGTTGGGGCGATAAGTTCTTCATCTGTGAACATACTCTCAAAGCATGCCAAGTGTCCATGACTATTTATCATATCACAACCTGCATAGGTATTTGCATTTCAATATCCCCTACTTTTTTTGAAGAGTATAGATCGACCGCAGTTTATAAGATTATTTCCACTATAGTTTGACCTCAATGTATAATATTATTTTCACTATGGGTTGAAGTCAAGAAAATGTTCACTATATAAATCAACCTTATCAGAAAAGTTTCAATAAAGATTGGCCTCAATTGACAATTTTCAAAATCGATTAACCGCAATTTTTAAAGGGACAATAACACTCTTGCTGGCTTGACAGGTCCAGAAAATAAAAAAAATAGCCTTATTCTAAGTACTAGATGTGTTAGTGTCCTACCTGTTGTGTAAATTATCCATTAAATGCTATTTTACTCGTCCAAAGGGTTCATAAATATTTTTTAAATCCAAGTCTCATTTGAAAAGCTTTACGTCAGGCTTTTCAAATCATTTAGTTGAATTTTTCCAATTTTTTAAATTAGGTGTGTTAAGATGAAATTTGTATCATCAATTAATTGGAATATTGTAAAATAGTACAATTTGTTGACCAGAATAAAGATTGGGACATATTATTCAGTTACAACAAGAGTGGTATTGAGCCTTTAAGTAAATTTTCAATATAGATTATCCGCAATTTTTATGACTATTTTCACTATATAGATCGCCTTCAGTTTGTAAGATTAATATCACTACATCAATTTGCAATACAGATTCTGAAATATTGACATAAAAAAAGCACAAAATTTTCAGGAACCATAACATAGGGACTACGGTATTGGAAGCGCTTACTGGCAAGAACATGAACGTTTTTATGGATGCGAGTCTTCTTGCGTAAAACCTGTAAATTAGCAATAAAATAAGTTCCTTTGCGTATATATTTTACATTCATTCAACAGACATGTCTGCTTCATAGACATTAGGCCTGCATAACCCCTGTTTCATTGGTTACATTAACCACATCCACATAACAAAGTTGAACAATCAGTCCACTTTTTGGTGGTGTTAAACATTACAAAATAGAAGTTCGCGACAGGTGAATTGTCCGTATGCAAAATTTTAAATGACATCCCCAACATGTCTAACAATAGATTCTCGTTAGGTTATATTGTCATGGTTGATCGCATCCAATCGAACCCAAAGATTGTTACTGCAAGGTTTAATAATAGAACTTGTCTGGATTGCTACTCATGAAGATGGTCTGTATGTTTACTGCACTTAAAACATGTTGTCTTCCAAATGAACAGTTTAAACATAGACATGGACCAGTTCTGTAAAACGATGAACATTTCCTTTCCAGTATTCGTGATATTGTGTCAACTTTCCTGCGTCAATCATCTTATCAATGTCCGCTTCACGGATCGCTCGTTCCATCTCCTCCGAGGGTCGGTATTCCCATAATCTGAGAATCGGACGATCATTGGTAAAATGGCATATTAAAACGGTTAAACGTAGCTCATTTGGTGACGCCAATCCGTTTTGAATAGCCATACATTTCGCTAAGCACAATTCGGCAATATCAAGGGGTCTAGGGGTTGAAAGTCCCGTTGACTTAATGTTCATCACGTGTAATTTTCCTTTCCTCCGACATAATGCATCAATTTGACCCGATAATACGCGCACCATATTTGAAACTTTGACATGCGCAGTTAGTTGAATAGCGAGAGCCTCAAATGAATCAAACCAAGTTTCTATTTTCCTCGCGAACAGACGACACAAATACCCACAGAACGACGCTGCTGCGTCCTCTTCTTTGGTAAACGTAAGATAATGAAACGCATCAAGAGCACCACGAGAATGCAGCTGACTCAACATGGCCGAATGGAATTGCTGACCTTGGATTTCGGCGGGAATATGTAGGAGGAAGTATAGATATTTTTCACGTGTTCTGTCATGTTTGTCTAAATCTAATCTACAAGCCTCGCGACGTGTTATGAAGAATTCCCATCTGTGTTGTTTCTCTTTACTATACGTGTTGTACATCAGGTTTTCACCAACCGCTTCTACCGCTATAAATATCTTCATGGTCGCCATATCATAAACACGTGACAGTTTCTCCAGTCGGCGTTTCAACTCGCCTTCATAGAAATCTGCATACACTAATGACACCATTTTAAATCGTTATTCTGAAGAAAAACCAAAGAAAGAAAATATTAATCAAGATGTTGTATACTGTATACGTGTCACTGCATACGTGTATTCGATTTTAGATGCATTATATCAAATGAATTATTATTATCGGTTCTATCTAAATATTCATTCTGTAATGACAGAAATTAGTAATAAAAAAGACAGTTCTTTAGATTTCAAAAATGCTACGTATAATTAAAGGGTGTTGCACGGTAAATTCAAGACAATAAGTCAGGTTTCCGGTTTTTAAACATTTACTTTCAGCGCTGGGGTGCGCTTTTTCAACGTTATAATTACGTAGGTATGTTTGCAGGGGCGAATTAGAAATAGAGAAATGAAATGAAATGAAATGGGGTTTAACGTCCTACTGTTTTGCTCCGAACTGGGCTAATGAAGACGGGCATACGCCATACAGTGTGCTATGAGGGTAATTTTGCCCGGACAGCGGCACTACGGCCTACTCTTATATCGAATTCCAACTGTCAAGGGATCTTTTACGTGCACGCCAATGTGTACACTGGACCTCGGTTTTTCGTCTCATCCGAACGACTAGACAGATGTCCTTGTCAGGCCCTCCGTCCTGCATCACTGACAAGGGGGAACCACGCCGGAAAATCTGGATGAACTTTCTCGGCCAATGCAGGGATCGAACACCCGACCTCCAGGCTAGCGAGCCAGCGCCTAACCCACTTAGCCACCGTGATCCCCCTAGAAATAGAGATGTTACTCTGCATTTTTCTTATGAATTAAGAAAATATGGATAACAAAATGAATATGGTTTCAAACAAGATTGTTTTCAATTATATTTTTAACATCATGGTGACGTAGTAGTGATGTATGATGGATTGTACATCTGTTTAACGATTTACAATTAGGATTTAAAAAATATTGTCAATTCATAGATCGAAATTTCCAGGAAAGCCATTATAACTAGTAATATATTGCAATTCTTCACAAGTTTTCTTCTCTGATATAGTCCTCGTAGCATTTATTCACAGAAAGTTTCGTAGGGCGTGATAATAACGTTATAATTACGTCGCTATGATTGCTGGGTAGCGAGACTATATACGGGAATTGGTATTGAATACAGTTTATTGACACAGAATGTATAGGTATAATATATTCAATATCACACATAGAGCTGATTTCTAACGTAGATATAGGTATAATAATAATATATTTAATTTCTATAACAAGCCTCTATTGATAATACAATCTATTGTTGGTACACACTGTTCAAAGACTTACATATTTCTATAGACATCGGGTAGGTGGGTAAAGACTATACTGTTATTCAAGATAACGGGTTATCGTATTTTTATAGTAGGCCCATTTATGAGATTTAATTTTAGCACCTTCGATCACGAACGGTAAAAAAAGTTGTTCTTCTAGATTTTTAGTAAGTTTATCGGGTTTTTATTTGTGTGTATGGTGTTGGGAGTGTTAATATTCGATTATTATTAAGTCGAGAGGGGCTCACTAGTCTGCCGCTATAAGAAATGCTATAAATATGGGTATCAATAACCCTAACCCTAACCCTAATAATAGATATGGTGGACTAATGAACCCGTGGAAAAGCGAGCATTCCCCATTAAATCCATAGGTCTATCTCAGTTGGTGGGGCTGAGGCTATTTGCCCGAAAATTTTCTGTCACCCGAATTTTCAGAATGAATCATTCATTAGCTAAAACGAGTTTTCCACAAAGCCGTGGTAGTTGTTTATTTTTAATTAATTACACAACAATATAAATTTACAATAATATGTTAAACCAACAAAAAAAAACAACTTAAAAGTTCCCCATTCTTTGATGTTTCTGCCCGAAAAACTGCATGAAAATGGATGACTCTTACGCTCAAATATATTTATTAGACACTATCAATCACTTTCAACGAGACAATAAATGTAATCAAGTTTGTATCATATATAAATCATCTCTATATTCATACGATTATCGAAAATGGAGTCGCGGTGACTCAGTGAGTAAGACTTGGGTCTCTGGTTCGCTCGTGATGTTAGCCGAGAAAGTTCTTCGGAACTTTCCGGCGCGGTTTCCCCTTGTCAGTGGTGCACTACGGGGGGGGGGGGGGCTAGTCGTTCGGATAGGACGGCATAACCGAGGACCCGTGTACACATTGGTGTGGTGTACTTAGAGGCTACTATACATGTATATTGACAGTAGAAATTCGAAATAAGAGTAGGCCGTAGCGCCGCTGTCCGGCGGGCAAAATATCCGCCATAGCATGCCCGTCTTCATTAGCCCGGTCAGTGCAGAAAAAGGGAAGTTAAACCGGATTTCATTTATTTCTGCTGGGGCAATCTCTATATGGTATTCCATTTTTGTTTTAAAAAATTAAGCCTCACATTGGATCTAAACATTAAGTCTACGTGGTCCATTTATATCACATTATAATGCCTGTTCGAGAGAGTGACCGATACAAAAATGGAATGGAATTTAATGAAGCCGGGTGTATGGGAAACGCTCTTCCCTTTCCAAGTCTGAGCAGAACCGTAGGACGTTAATCCCCATTTCCTTTCACCCCTTTTCCAAGCCCTCCGTCCTGTGCCACTGAATAAGGGGAAAGCAGACAGAAATTTTCTCGACCAACACTTGGATCAAATCAGGGACCTCCTGATTATTTCTCGCATATAATAATTTTTGTTTTTCTGTGGAGACAAATGTGACTTATATTTGGATAGACACCAATCTGATTAAAACACAGATCCTATTTCGTTTCGTTTTATAGTTCAAAATTTCGTCTTACTCATAGTGTAGGCCATCGAAAGTATAAAAAATAACGAAACGAAATATAGATCTGCATTTTAATCCGATTGGATAGACACGGAATGTTGAAGACTGGGTCTCTTTGCTTATAACATATAGAACTTATTGGAAAAAAAAGTGGCCAACATATCAGTCGACCAAACAATTATTACAGTTGTCATCTATATCAATTAATCAATCAATAAACCAAAATCGATCTTTCCTGTTACTGAATCGATTATCGATTATTTCTGAATTGCCCGAAAAATGCAAACGACATTTAGCGATAATAAGTCATGGGGTTGTATAGATGTATTATTAACATCTGAAAACGCCTATAGAGGGCAGACATTTATGAATTATATATATATTATATATTTAGTCGACATGGGTGTGTGGACGATCCAACTACATTGTAATGTATTTTGATATTTGTGGACGACTTAACATGACTTTTCGTGTGGACGGGTTTGCTTGAGTACGAGTTAACTGGCATTCATATTATACACTTAATATATTACAGTTTACAGTAATTATTCATCGCAATTTTTATCACTTCGTTTTGTTGCTTTATTTCGGACAAAAATAAAGACTTCTACTTAAAATGGTGTATTGAAGAGAGAGAGTGAGAGAGAGAGAGAGGGGGAGAGAGAGAGAGAGAAAGAGAGGTTAACGTCCACTTGACACAAACTAGGTAATTTCGGGACTAACATATGGTTCAATTTTATTTCGATAATTCGCTTGCGCATAGGGGTCTCTAGCAGTGGTAGGAAACTGAGGGACTCGGAGAAATCCCACGAGATTGGACAGGCGACCCAAATATTTGTCACGTACAACTGGGGGAATCGAAACCACGACGGGTGACTCAATGACAAACCTTACGATGTCGCGCGCACGCACTAACCATTCGGTCACCCCCAGCCTCAGATGTTGTAAAAAATAAAAAGAATAATTTGTAAATATTAGTAATTATACTGAAAGGTAGAAATCACATGGTGTTGATGAATTTATATAAGCTTCGACTTGGCTTCAAATCCATTATATTGGTATTGTATATGTACGTGGTGCTCGAAATCAAAATAATATGTTTAAGCCAAGTATAGTCTGCCCCCACGACACCTACCCCTTAAATAACAACACTTTATAAACTTACAATTATATCTGCATTTTACTTACAATTATTTCCTTGTACTGAAAATATTATAAATATATTTCAGATTTTCTGTCTGTTTATTTCTAATCCATATTATTTTCTATAACAAACAATACATACTGTCCTTCCTTTTCTAACCACAGTTTGTTTTCACCAAGTTTCAACATGAATTAGGACTATCTCGTAACCACTGCTTTTGAAAAAATCTTAGCTTCAACCCAATCCTTGTCTCGTATTCTTAAATATCCATAATAATTCGCATAAATAAATAATATTCCACTTCACAATCAACTACGTTATTCAGTTTGAAAGTTGATATTTCTGTGGTATATCAGTTATACCCCAGTTGTTACGGGGCAGTTATTGACAATAGTCCACGGTTACTATACACCTCGATTATTTAGTCCTTCAAACGAATACATAATAAACGGTAATTATGTAGTCTTGATTAAAATGGTATCGATAATTAATCGTTTATAGGTAACAAATATATAAATCATAGTCACGATCGATCTGTCTGACAAGATAACAAAACTATCAATAAAATAATTATTTTTAGCTTATCTCGATCAAAAGGTCTCTAGATAATCACGTGAAATCCTGTTCGGTATTTCACCTAGCCTAATCCCTCTATGTCTACAAGGTGTATAACAGGGTAAACGTTAATCCCCTTTATCTGTAGTCGTGGCCTAATCTTTAATCCGCACATGGGTGTATTAAACACAATATTGACTAATAAAGTAGTGTATTTTAGAGGTTATAGAAAACATGAGACAATACCAGCCAATTCTGGAAATGAAATGGGAAATGCTAATTGTAGGCCGGTTAGGGAGGTTCGGGAATTTCCCGAGGAATCCCTATCTGGGGATTAGCTCAAATCAAACAAAACACTGCGGGGAGTATGGGGAATTTCAGGAGTCCACAATGGTCGCTTTATATAAATGAGTAATGGGGGCAAAAGGTAAACATAATCCAATTAGCACCGGCCTACAATTAGCATCCAAATGAAATGGAGGATTAACCAACTTGGTTAATGATGAATACCGACATATGCAGTGTTCTATCTGAGAAATATTGTTTTAATGACATTTAGTAACTGAACTAGAGTATACAGGTGATAATTCTATGAAATACAATTACTGCTTATTACTTGATAATGAATAGAGAAGCCTAGTTGAAACGTCGCTCAGTAATAAGCAGTAATTATTGTATACCATAGAATTGCGAACTGTTTATATACTGAGAAATTTTGTCTGGACAGCGGCGTTTCCGCTTACCCTTTTTCGAATTCCAACCGCCACAGTTTGTTTTATGTTCATGCGAACATGTACACGAGACCTAAATAAATCAGTAATTGTTCTTCCATAAGTATATTGCTCTATCCAGTTACTAAATGGCGAAATGCCTCAAAAAGATCAGCTTGTTTTTCGTACCATACGAACGACTAGAGACTGTTCCTAGTCAGGCACACCACTGACAAGCGGAAAATTTCGAGGAACTTTCTCGGCTAACATCAGGATCGAACTCCGGATCTGCTGGTTCGGGAGCCAGCGTCTTACGCAAAAAGCCACTGTGGCTCTCAGGCAATACTGGCATTGCTAGTCAACACATCAGCACCGAATTATGTCAAAGTGGATTCATAGCTGTTAACGGCGTGGTCATACAACAGGACAGCAACCCGAGCTACACCAGACCAAACAAACAGTATCAGATAGTACAGAAATATACCCGTTATAGACAGAGATAAATGGGGTTTAACGTACACTCGACACAAACTAGGTCATTTCGGGACTAACATATAGTTTAATTTTATTTCAATAATTCGCTTGCGCGTAGGGGTCTTTAGCAGTGGGAGGAAACCCATGAGGTTGGACAGGCGACCCTACTCCTTGTCACGTACAACCGGGAATTCGAAACCACGCCAGTTGACTCAATGACAGACCTTATGATACAACGCGCACGTGCTAAACCCCCCCCCCCCACACACACACACACCCGTTATAAGGTTATAAGCCGACAACCAGATGATGATGAGGATGACATTAGGTTTTCTGAAATTATATTGGGTTCTGTCGTGTGCAATAATGGGGTAATTTAGCCCCCATAGCCTACTCTTAGGGGTTTAAAGGTGTCGCCAGTGGAAAAAACATGACATCGGTTATTCGCCCCATCCGGACAATAAGCTTTCCATCCTCTAACAAAATACTCAGTTTCTCGTCCTGTCCGAGCAATTAAACCCCCGCCATGCACCCTTGATATGGGTAACCTAGGTTGAAAAATCCCAATGTCATTTCACGGTCAAAATCGGGATCGAACTCGGTATGTTCTGGTTAATGAGCCACCGTGGTTCCCTATCATTGTGATTGTTTATGAACTTGATGATGTTTAAGCTGAAGTTATATAGGGGTGCCTATTTAAGTATAACAGATTTTATTTTCAAAATAAGAGAGAGAGATAGAGAGAGAGATAGAGAGAGTGGGAGAGAGGGGGGGGGGGTGTAACGTCCACTCGACACAATCTAGGTCATTTCGAGACTAATCCATGGTTCAATTTTATTTCTATAATTCGCTTGCGTGTTTTCAAAATAAAGAAGTTTTAACAAACAATAGCCCATTCATTTTGTCAGTCGAATGGAAAAACGCTGAAATTCTTCCTTGGGATGTATATCGGCTTGAAAGCTTCTGCCAGTCAACACGGACTAGTAGATCATTTCGGGACTAACATGTCAACAATTAACCTGCGCACAATGGGGAGAGGTGGGGGGAACAGGCGTGGATCCCAGGGGGGTGGGGGCACCTAGCGCACGCCCCCCCCCCCTATTTTTTGCGGTGGCGAACAATTTTTTACCCCATATATTCTCGCGGGAAAGGAGAACAAAAATACTTAAAAATGGTAGTGATCCCCGTCGTAATTTACTCCGAAACGAGCCGGTTGGTGACTTGGTTGAATGCCCGTCAGTCCGCCCACCGTGGGCCGGGCTTCGCAGTCCCAAGTGGGGGCAGCTCGCCCCTCCCCTCCCCCTTTCTGGAAATCCTGGATCCGACATGGAGAAAGACAAAAAAGGGAGTGGTATCTGCATGTGTGTACTGTACGTGTGCACACAATGTCTATTGTATCCTTCGTGCTGAAGAATGTTGAGTGTCATGATAAGCGAGTCTATATAAATATATATATAATTAGTGTGTATAGGTATAAAATACCTGATACATGTTTTAACCTGTTCAGGATCTACATGTATAATACAAACATTCATTTACGCTCGTATATCATATAAACTATATACTAAACTTACGCTGTTGGTCTACAATTAGCTCCACAGACACTTATAAGCTAATTGACCTACATTTTAAGTCCTAAATCGACGATTTTAGTCGAGTATATTTTGAGAATTTTGGGAAATATATATTCTGCTTTCATTTAATAAAATTGAAAAAGTTTAATTTTTTTTTTTTTTTTTTTTTTTTTGTGTATAACAGACGTGAACCGGAGTAAGGACAGTGTCTAGTCGTTCGGATGCGAGACAAAACCCCGAGGTCTCGTGTACTTGTCCACGTAAAATAACCCCTGGCAGTTAAAATTTGAAATTAGAGTAGGCCGTTGAGCCGCTATCCGGGCAAAATTTCCCCCATAGCACACTATGGCGTCAGCCCATCTTCATTAGCCCAGTCAGTACAGCAAAGTTAAACCCCATTTCATTTAAAGGCCTTGTAAATACGTGTGATGTTTGTATGACATCTCACAAAAATAAAATAAAAGGGATTTCAATAACTCGCTTAGGGGTCTTTACCAGTGGGGTGAGGAAACCGGAGGATCCCTTTAAAAAAAAACCCGAGTTTGGGCAGTGATTCTACGTATACAAGCTTGGTATCGAAACCACGCCACGTGACTCAGTGACAGACCTAATAATCTAAACCGCACCCCCTAATATAAAAGAAACTCACAGCTATCATAAATCGTAAAAAAAAAGGTTTAATATTGATATAAATAAACCATAAATTAAATAACCTAAAACTTGTAAATCGAGCCATAAAAACTGATTCACAATTTATTACGTGTACATAATGTTTTAGAGAACCTTTGTTCACCCCCCCCCCCCCCGTAAATAAACTTCTTGGTATATTTAGACGACACGGCGCCATTTTATCAAAATATAAATATTAATACTGTAGATTTAATCACAGTTATAAACAACTGCTGATTTTAAGTAGTCACATTGTCAATGATTCATAACAACGAACCACATAAAGTTTTTACTTGGAGTTAAAGCAATGAAATGAAATGAAATGAAATGAAATGGGGTTTAACGTCCTGCTATTCTGCTCCGAACTGGGCTAATGAATACGGGCATACGCCATACAGTGTGCTACGAGGGAAATTTTGCCCGGACAGCGGAACTATGGCCTACTGTTATATCGAATTCCAACTGTCAAGGGATCTTTAACATGCATGCCAATGTGTAGACGGGACCTCGGTTTTTCGTCCCATCCGAACGACTAGACAACTGCCCTTGTCAGGTCCTCCGTCCTGCATCACTGACAAGGGGAACCACTCCGAAAAATCGGGATGAACTTTCTCGGCCAATGCAGGGTTCGAACACCCAACGGCCAGGCTAGCGAGCCAGCGTCTTACCCACTTAGCCACCGTGATATACCTGGAGTTAAGCATTCTATATTATGGTTATCTACAAACTTCCTCAATATTACAAACTATTACAATTCTTAAATACAACGGCTGAAAACTCCGATATTTAGTAGATTAAAATACGTTTTGCGCTTGATGCGGAAACCGTAAAAATGGATAATCGAGACATTATTTATTATCGTAACAACGGTAGTAATGGCAATCGATGCTAGACACTAATTGTGTCGCCCATATATAGGCTCGAGTGAAATTTTCAGCATATTCATTTTTCATTATCCATTGTTAGCTATTATAGCGAGAACTGTCAGCTCTTTATGTACTCTTACTTAATGCCACTTTAATAAAGACAGACAGGAACGGTCAGGTCAGAGGACACTGTTTATTGTGATAGATTCTACTTTCAATTTTTACATACGACGTCATGTCAGTCTATTTTGTCTTTCATTTGTATACCATGCACCTATAATTTGTTTACTCTCAATTTTTTTTTCACAGAAGACGTCGTGACCACAGGCACTATTTTATCCTTCTTTTGTATCCACCTGTTTTCTGTTCAATTTAAATCTATTTTGTTTAAAATTTACCAACCAACCATTTCTTTTAATCATTTTATCTAATTAATAATGAAACGGGGGCGTCGTCTGATTATTTTTTGAAGACGTGACATAAACTGCCACGTTTAATAGAATAAAAACACCAGCACGTTCCACTCTAAAAGATTTCTGGTACATAATAT